GGACTATCAAGCAGCGCTTGATCTTGTTGTTCAATACCCCACCTCGTTTGCAGTTGATCTGGAACTTTGCAGCAAGTGCGGTGAAAGCCAACATAAGAGCGATTTGGAGGATAAGAGCCGACTTGAGCAAGGCTTTGCCGACGCTTTGTTCGTGTGGGGTAGAACCCGAGCTTGCAACTCGAACAGCCCCGTTGGCAGTGATAGCTTCAATAGCTACGCCCACCGCAACGAATGTAGTGAAGACTCGACCAGGGTGGATAGGCGAATGGTAGGGAATGTAGTACAACATGCGGCCGAGTATGAAGAAATTGGCACCCTCATAGACGGGTCTAATGCATTAATTAGCAACTGGATACAATGCTCATGGGTAAGGAGGTCGATCTTACGGTCCTGCCAACAGAAGAACAGTACTTGCAATATAGAGATTAACATCGCCCCATTGTCCAAATGCACCAACCGTTCGTGCAATGAAGCCCGCGGTGAAGAGAATCGCCGACCATGGGAGAAGACCGGTCACTTTCCAAGATTTATATCGACTTGAAAGGATTAGTAGGAGGATTTCGGCTGCGAGAAGATGACGTACAGGCACTGGTAGAAGTGAATGGCCCCTGAAAGAGCAAAAAGCACTGCAAAAGCAATAGGAGCACCTTTGTTCGGTGCGTAGAACCACAGGCTTCCCTCCTCTGTTGGGCATTAGCGGATTATATCAACCTTGGAAGGAAACACGCATAGTCTGCATCTTCGAAGACTTACGATAAGTCATAGTTGCGGCTGAATCCACGTGATTTTGTAGTGGTACCACTAGTACTAGTAGTAGTACGGATCCAAGTGGGATGATTTCCAAGGTTAGTTTACTTGAAGTAGATAATATAAACCTAGGTGTCTAGGCGATATCCCGAGGTTGGTATAATAAAAAGTGAGGTCTGGAAAGCAGTCTTGTGTTGTTAGACGATGTTTTACCAAATGGCCAAGATGAATGGGATCTCGAGACTTAAATACTGGATGAATAGATGTTTCCAACCTTGCTGAGCCTCGATCGCAGCCAAAAAGCAAGCGAAAACGAAATTTCCTAATTGGGTCAGAAACGACGAGCTCAAATAAACCAATCATAGGACTGTAAGACTGGGGCTCCTTTTTCCACAGTGCGGATCCGTGGCAGTGACTGGCCCAGAGTTCGCCCTAAAGCGCGTGGCGCAGTGCCATCCGGGCCCCAATACGAGGTTCAACGCTCGGTCCGGGTGACGATCTTGATGAGGCTAACGACGACCAGCGATGCTTGATTGCAGGAATTTTGGTGGCCAAAAGACTGGTAAAGTTTGATGTGCCCTACTCAACTAACTGATAAATACGGGGGTCCTGACAAGGCCTAATAGTGAGGAAGTTGTCGTACTGTTAGATGCGCGTGGGCGTGCCCAACGCGGAACGATACGAGCTCATTCACACATCCTCGTAAAAGCTAATGAGCCTTGCTCGTGACAGAATATGCGGTAGGATAATGATCATGTTCTCGAACGGTAAAGTAAAGGTTAACAAGGAAAGCGTGTGGAAGCGAGTAAAACCTGGCAAACAAGGTCACGGGACCTATAGATCGGGTTTGGTACACTATTCCCTTTTAGAAAATGGTTGCCGGGTCAACGAGAAATGCATCCCAACGGGGAAGGCACAAGGGCGATCTGTGGACGGAAGGCACGACACGCAGCTGGCACGCAGCTGGCGCGGTCTCGACTCTCTTTTGACTTGCGCAACTTTCCAGTGACGAGCCTCCACTTACTCTGGAAACATCCGCCCTCATCGTCATAATGCCTCCCAAACAGCCCCAGGCGTCGCTGTTTCAAGTCTACCTCCGTTTGCGCCCTCCCCTCGCCCAGAAAGTCGATGAATCAGACCGTTTCCTCGCCGTCGAGCCACCGGAGGCATCGCAAAATGAGACCGAGATTGTCGCACCGGTTTCTACTCATATCACTCTAGAACCGCCTACCGACTCACGAAAGCGCGCTGTCGAGCGATTTGGTTTCACTAAAGTCTTTGAAGAAACCTCCTCACAGCTCGACATTTTTCATGACACCGGGATGGAGTCCCTGGTGAGGGGAGTTCTAAAGGAAGGTCGAGATGGACTAGTCGCAACATTAGGAGTTACAGGAAGTGGAAAGGTCGGGCGATCGCTGTTTAAACACACAATGTCAACAAAACTAATCCGAATGAGCAATCCAGAGCCACACCATTCTAGGGTCCAAATCCGAACGCGGCATTACCCAAATGGCCCTGGATGTCATCTTCCGATCGCTCGAACCCACCGTGAAAACCGAGGACGGCAGCATCAGTCCCATGATGCTTGCATCACTGGCCGCAGCGGATGCCTCTGAAGCGCAATTGTTCGCCGCCCATACCTTCCTGGAAGCCGTCTATGGTGACCCCAATGCCGATCGTGGCCGAAGTTCTAGAGCCCAAACTCCCATGAGCCCATCCCGCGCGCACACCCCCCTCACGGTACGGAGCCCTAATACCCTATACACCCTTGATGAATCGCCACCTCTGCGTGCGACCCCTGGATACGGGGCCCCAAAGGCAGACTCAAATCTACAGTCCAGTCCCATTCGCAAAGATCGATTCGGCCTTAGTCCACCATCATCTGAGCCATTTGGAAGGAAACCCTATGGATCCCTACATCCTCTCCCTTTCACGCGCCCCAACATGTACGAGGAACGTTTAGCTAAATCGCGACTTTATGTCTTCAAGGAACCCACCCCTGCTCTCGCATTCCCCCGTCGTCAGCCTCGCGAAAGGCCTGTTGTGTCTCCGCGACTCCCCGATGTTAGCCACCTCGCCATTGACTTAAACTCAACCTCCGATTATGTCGTTCTGGTGTCGATGTACGAAGTTTACAATGACAGAATCTTTGATCTTTTGTCACCATCGATCGTCCCTGGACAAGGGAACACCATGTCTCGCGGCGGTAACACTCAAAAGGACCGCCGACGTCATTTACTTTTTAAGCCGACTGAGGGATCGCCGGATCGTAAAGTAGTTGCTGGACTTCGAAAAATTGCCTGCAGCACTTACGAAGAAGCACTGGCTATTCTGGACGTTGGTCTTACTGAACGAAAGGTAACAGGTACTGGATCAAATAGTGTCAGCTCACGAAGCCACGGTTTCTTCTGTTTGGAGGTCAAGAAACAGGTGCACAAGCGTCATGGCGAGACAAATTGGGTGGGAAATACTTTGACCGTCGTGGATTTGGCCGGTAAGTGCTAACCCTGTGTGTTTACCGCTCAACTCGTACTAAGATTTCCAGGATCCGAGCGTGCCAGAAATGCAAAGACAGCCGGCGCCACGCTTGCCGAGGCTGGAAAAATCAACGAGAGCTTGATGTATTTGGGTCAATGCCTGCAGATGCAAAGCAATTTCCAGGATGGTACCAAGGTAGAAAATCCTGACTGGCGGTGTTTCTCTTGTCCTGCTGCTGATACAATCCATAGACCGCGCTTGTACCGTTCCGTCAATGTAAGCTCACAGAGCTTCTCTTCTCCAACTCCTTCCCTTCATCCAACCAAATGTCTCGGGGCCACCATCCTCAGAAGGCAATCATGGTGGTCACTGCTGACCCTTGGGGTGATTTCAATGCCACATCTCAAATATTGCGTTACTCTGCATTGGCTCGTGAGGTTACAGTCCCTCGCGTTCCCTCTTTGGCTGGATCAATTGTCTCTACTACTTCGAGTCACCATCGATCTATTAGTGGACGTGTTTCTCCCAATTCTGCCTCGGTCGAGGAGCTGGAGCGTGCCGCAGCTGAAATTAACCGACTCAACAACGATTGCCACAGCATCGCTATTCGACTTGCCGAGGAAGAAATCGCGAGGTCCGAGGTTGAATTCCGCCTCAAGGCTGCCGAAGAAAGATGCGTCATGATTGAGCAAGAGGTTCGGGAAGAGTGTTGGGCCGAGATGGATGACATGATGGAGGAGGAGCGCCGACGCTGGCAGAAAGCCTGGGATGAACAGGTGAGAATCCCCCAGAATCTCGTTCGGAAAAGGTCTAATGATTCCCAGCTTGGTCACCATGATGAACACATCGACAAGAAGATAGAGCTTGTTTCTCGTGGATTCAGCAGTAAGTCAATCAGGAATGTGTGGTATATCTAAACATTAAGCTGACAGATTATCTAGTTTACGAAGATCCTGAGCAATCATCGAACGAGAGGGTAGAAGAACTAGAGGATGAGAATGAACAACTTCGCCGGCGTCTTGCCACCCTCGAGCGAGAAATGAATTCTCAATCACCCACCCGACAGCCCCGAGGGAAGCATGCTTCGCCCAACAAGCCCTCGACTCTTCTAAGTCGAGAGAGCGACATCGAGAATGCACTTCAGCGCATGAACCAACTACATCTCACCGATGGCATGTTTTCCCCTTCTTCGCCTACTTCACCAGGCAAGAAACCGCGAAAAATATCGACCAGAAAATGGGACTTAGCTCCGGAGAGCGACGTATAGATCGACTTACCCTTGTCTATTATGCCACGACCATTATGATTTGAGCAAATTTTTCAGGCTTCGCGTTCCAGGGCTCATATTAGGCGAGTTAGCGATTGGATACCACTTGTGAGCAAGAATAATCTTGGCTGAGGCGTTTTGTGGATTTTATTCGAGGGTTATTCCCCAGTACCAGTTTTATTGTAAATAGTATTTTCCTCTTCTACCCGAATCTTTGGCTCTTTGGCCCTACGTTCACAATTCTAATTACCCCTACGCCCAAGTAGGGTTGGCATCCTGTAAGTGCATTATAAGGCTCTTCGAAGAAGAAAAAATCATAGACTCCTTGAGGGACACTGTATCCTAAATGTCCTGGTATCAATAGCGAAAAACATAATATAGTGCACTGCTCCGACCCAACGCCCACTCCGTACAGCTGAACGAAACCGAGAATACAGCCGTTGGCGGTATCCCGCAAAATCAAAATCAAATAAGAAAACGAATTTCCGAGAATCAATCGCAAGAATATTCATGCAGGGGTGGTATCCATGCCGGTGTCTTTCTCGGCTTCCTCGTTCTTGATCGTTGTGGCCGATCCTTCGCGCTCATAATCGGTGGCCTGGGTAGACTCATCATTCTCACCGTCCAAGATTTTGCTTTCGTCGATAGTATGATCTTCGCCGTCTTCATCCTGCATGTCCTCGTCGACTGTGTTATCGACATCCTGTGCTTCTTCTCCGCCGGTTTCAAGCTCTGTTGTCCCGATATCCCCTTCACCTTCGCCCTCGCCCTCATCCTCATCGCCTTCCTCCTCTTCCTCTTCGCCTTCACCTTCACCTTCCCCATCACTGCCAGCATCGTCCTCGTTCTCGGTTTCAACGTCGCCCAACTCATTCTTTCTTAGACCAGTCAGGGCACTGTGATCCTTTGGAGGTTTGTTCGTTTTCACATCGTCTGTTTCATCCGCGTCACTTTCATTGCCGCTGTCATGAGCGCTGCCGATGTTTTCCTTCTCGGCATTCGCGTCATCACCTGTAGTAGGACCTTGTTTGCTAAGGTCCTGGGGGGTGGATGTAGAGCCAGAGACATTAGCTGCGTTAAGCCCACGTGGTGTTGCTGGTGCTTGTTCCGCGTCCGTGGTAGCAGCGAACTTGGTTGTAGCAGTGCGCGGACCAAGCTTCAGGTTGACAATCATATCCGCTCGTTTCTGTATGTCGCGACGAGCAATGCCCTTGGTGCGACCACGAGGCGCAGGGGTATCAGAAGCCGGGACGGGGGTTGCGGGGGTTGAGGTCTCTGTTGTTCCTTCGCCTGCCATGAGAAGATGATCGACCTTCATCTTTTCTTTATTTTCTTCATTGACTTGCTCGATAAGCTGGGGCATGTTGAGTTGATAAATACGGGCATACAGGTCCGCAACAAGATCCTCAAACATGGTGACCTTCATCAGGTTATTGTTGAGCTTTTTGAGCTCCAAGGAATCTCGCATCAGTTCAAGAACTGGCGTGGTTTCGTCAGAGAGCTTGCCCAGGCCTTCAAGCCGGGCAGTCTTCGATGAAAACTCCTCCCAACCAATTGGCCGGAACACGCCCTCCTCGTGGCCTTCGCTGATACTTGCGGCCCTGCGAATCATCTTTGCATAAGTCAAACAAACATCTTCCCACAATTTGGTGTGGTTGATGAAATCGCCTTGCTTCTTCCTGACTCGACGCAAAAGCTGATCCAGACTAGCGCGATCGTCAAGTTGATCCAAAAGGCTGACGAAGAAATAAACATAGCGCGTCGTGTATACGAAATGTCGCCCTGGACGTTCGAATTCCGGCCGCCAAACCTGAATAGTGAGCGTCTTGGTGAAGATTTGGGACATTTCGTGCTTGGCTGCGACCGCCGCTGTGGCATTCTTCTGGTCGTCATAAATTACATGGGCAGCCTAATAGAGTCAGAATTCATTCCCGTGAAAATACTTTGTGAATAGTTTGAACATACCTTTGCACTCATCCGGTGATGCCAATTCGATTTGTCGGCACTCTTGAACCGTTTGATGACTTCGAGCATATACGATCTCCAGCCTTCAATATTTTGGGGAGCATCGACTTTACGAGCCCAAGGTGAGACAGCGAGGGTTTTAGTCGCCTCGACAGGCTGGTTTGGTTTTAGTCAGGGTTAAGCCTCAATAAATGAAACAGAGAACTCACAGTCATATTGCCCCGGACAACAAGCTTATGGACCACGGACAAGAGTTTGAAATGAGGTTCGAATATAGGGTCTGCCCTTGAATCCTTTCGTTGTGGCAGGGCTGCGATCGAATCAAGCAGCGCATCTATCACATCATGCATTTCGACCTTCCTCCGAGTCGTCCGCATGGAATCATCGCAGCTAAACATTTTCCAGAGGCATTTTCCGAGGAAGTAATTGGCCCTATACGTCTGTTAGCAAATTCGTCATGGCCCTCGATTGATGACACTCACAGCCAGCGCCGAGGCTTGTCATTTACTGCTCGCCTGAGCAGATTACTAGCGAAGTTCCAGACAGAGTAAAGCGACATTTCCTTAAAAGGTTGGGCTTTGTACATCTGCTGACTTTCCTCGCTGCTGAAGTGTCGCGAAAATTCCGATAATCCGAAAGCACCCATGGATAAAGGTTCTCTCGAAGAAGCATACATGCGAATACCAAAATCCGTGTACAGTTCAGAGAGCAACATACGTGTTTCCACTGTTGGCTCGGCAGTTCTGATCGCCACTGACACAGCCATGCAGTAGCAGTGAATAGCATATCGCTGAGTAGCTGCCAAATCACTGCGGTTGTTGTTGATCTTATCTGCAGCCCACGTAATGTCTTCTTCCAACTGGGTGTCATATGCTTGTGCCAGTCGATACCATGTCTCCCACCTTCCTGATCCGTGATCTAGGTCCTGCCTGAAGAAATTGATCGCATCATCCAACTCCGCAGTTGAGCCGGGACTGAGGCGTTTTTGAGAACGAAATTTCGTGAGGGCGGCATGGCCGAGGAGGAAATACCAGCCTTTGATAGCGATTTGAGCATTCTCGCCAGGCACGGGTACCAGGGCAAGTTCTGTTACTCCTTGGACAGCTCGAAGAAGATTTGATGGATTGATAGGTGCCTTCATGTAATTATTGAAAAGGCGGCGGTTGAAAGTCATCTGGGGTGACTGAGAGGAGGGTTTCGCGGGTCCGATCGCTTGTTGCATTTTTTCGACTGTAGTCTTGAGCTCAGACTTTGAAAGATCTTTCATATTCATCTTCTGAGCTTGTCTCATCACGAAGTCGATCATCATGATGGCCGTTGGTCGGTCTAATTTCTCAGCTGGGCATCCATGGTCCGCCGCCCCGTCTGCAGGGGAGAACCTGATTCCATGGAGGTCAAAAAGAACTTGACAGATATCAAATTCATAGTCGCCCTTGGTCTCAAGCGCAAGCAATTCTGATTTCAAGAGCTTCAAGAAACGTTTCTGTGAGTACCTGCATAATGAGCGAACCCCGAGAGCATTGTGCACGCTTCGAAGTACATGGATACGATCTTCCGCTGAATCAGGGAACATATCCTTGTTCTGAGAAATCGCTTCTAAGAACATGGTATACAGCAGAACCCAGCAGCGGACATATAATTCTCGCATTCTCTCTTTGAAGTTTTCCAGCGATTTAGCGAGTGTCGATTTGAGATCGCGCCCGGAAATTTGGCCCACCCGCACAGAATCTTCATAGAGAACGAAGCCCTGGAGAATTCTGATCAGCCGAGCTACTGCAGACATAGATGCTTGCAAATGATCCATATCGATACATTCGTAGGCTTCCTCGGAGTGCTGCGATATGAGAAGGATAGCGTTCGTGATTATTCCATCTAGCGACTTGAGCCAGCTCAGCAAAGTAACTTGTCGATGACTGCTAGTTTCTTCGACGTGCTTAACGTCTTCGAGTTCAGTCATTATTGTCTCTATGCTGCGCAGGTAACAAGAAACGACTTTGGGCGGATAGTCGATGGACTGATACGCTTCCTGGAGTCTGCGCCATAGAAACAGTCGCAAAGTAGCATCTCCACGGTCAAGGAAAGAGGCCATCTCACTCGCATGGGAAGATGGGTCGTTGAGGTCGTTCGATTTGGGAATACCATCGGGGTACTCGATTGACGAAGGTTCCAGGATTGGCTCAATCGCTTCAATGAGTGAGACTGGGTCCTCGTCATCAGGGTTAAACACCTTAGCGAAGAAGTCCATGCACTTCAGTTTCAATACCTCTTGGTCTATCGTCTCGGAGGATATTTCGGACATGGCAGAGTTGTTCACAAGGTTGATGCTGGTATTATTGAGTGACTGGAGTATGTGCTTCAAATCTTGAAGGCAGAGCAAAATGTGTTCACGTTGAGCCTCGCCTGCGAGATTGAGGTGGAACACCGACGTCCACAGATGACGAAGACATACGTTTTGTCGGCATTCTTCGGATGGACAGTTCTGTATGAAATACTCCAGGCATGAACGTGAGAGCATTCCCCACCTACCAAGACGGTCGCTTTGAGCAAGCTTTTTTTCCCGGTCAATTTCGCTGCTCATTCCATCAACAGAGGAGAAGATGTCAAGGTGGAGCTCATAGATGGACTGGATCATTCCAAGCTCTGAGTAATCACTTAACTCATACTCGAAAGGAGCCTCCACACTAGAATCAAAGACGCGACGTTCGAGTCTTGCAACAACATCGCTCATCTTCGAGTACAAAAAGTTGTCTTCTTGTATTAAGGTTTCCACGACAGCCTCTTTCAGCTTCACAGGCCATTGGAAAGATTCGTACGCAGACTTCATCACGGACCATTCTGAGAGTTTCTCTCCAAATTCTGGCATGAGCAGACATTTCAACCACTCACATAAGGCTTCGCGTTGATGCAACATGGATTCGTTCATCATGTCACAAAAAGTGTAAACCTTTTCTCCAGCAGGTATCTCTTGGAGGATGGGTTTTCTGGTAGCCTTCCTTGAATGCTCAAGGAAAACGGAGAGGCCAGACCGATTGGTACCACGAATATCCTTAAGTGGTGAAATTTCATCCTTCTGCTGCAGAAGGCGAGATTTTTCATCATTCCAGGTTTTGATGATATCGCGGAGATCTTTCAGCAATCGAGCCTCCGGTTCAGCCGGCACGTCGTCGGACTCATTCACAGCTACTAATTTGGTCTTGATACCCTCGATTGTACCCAGCGATTCCATTCCAAACTTGGAGAACAATGAATTCAGAGTGTTGAACATCCACTCATCGGCATTGACAAATATCTCTAACCGATCTTCGTAATACTTTTCTTGGTCAAATGCAATTTCGTCTGGTTGTACCAAACCATCCGCATTCGATTCTCGAGCCCGAGTTCGTCGACTTTTCATTCTGCCGCCTTCCAGCTGATCATCGTTGGCTGCCGAAGCAGACGATCTTTTTCGGGATTCAGACGGAGATTTCGGGTCGACCACTGCAGGATTGTTCTCGTCTTCAGAGCCATCTTGTGGTTCTGGTGGCTGAGTGGATTCGCCTTCGAGAGATTCCATAAGCTGTTTCTCTGCACTTTGGTCGATAGATGACTGCTCCTCGCCTGGTTCTGCTGTGGCTTTGGTTGTATCCGGCTGGGGGTCCTCGAGCTTTGTGCTCCGCTCGCCATTTTCAAGCATGTTAACAACTCCGCTTTCAGGCTTGACTTCGGTATCGTCAGTCTCAGGGACAGTCTCAACACCATCCATTTCTTCATCATTGTCGGGTGTTGCATCTCTAGCCGGCAGAATGACTCGAATTGAACGACTGGGGATTGAAGGCATATGCTCGTTATCGAAGGCTTTCAGTATTGATGTGCCAATGGATTCCCAAGTCGCGTCAGGCGGAGTTACCTCCAAGGAATAAGTTGAAAAAGAAAGAGGGCCTCTTGAAGGGTCTAAAAAGTGAAGGTCGTCCGGTAAGGTTGGTAGATAGGAATAAAGGTCTTTGTGCCGTTGAAGGTATTTGGCGAGAGCTTTGTTGGGTTTCTTGACTGGGACCTGGGAGGCAGACAGTCCATCAAACAGGGACTTGAGTGTGTTCCGTAGTCGCTCCTCCGAGAATACCTCCTCCAGGCCAAGTTGTTCGGGTCGTACATCCAGTCGATTGTCATCATCCGCGAGCACACTTTCCAAGCAAAACCGGTTCAACCTGTAGCTTTGTAGGGCACTGCCGAGTCGAGCGCTTTGCCTCCATAGATTGAGATCAGTGTCATCCCGCTCAAGAGCTTCGGCAAATGATGCAAGTGCGCTTTTGGTCGCTGCTATTGTCTTTCGAGATATCTCCTGTGCTGCTTCTTCGTTCTCGGGGGCCTCTCGGAGGGCTTCGTGTAGGACGTCGAGTAGGAATTTGCCGTAGTTCTTGCGGGACAGGTAAAGGGTTTGAAAGAGGCTGGATGTCGAGTCGCTCACGTTATATTCCACAACTCCATCTGTAGGAGGTTCATCGATCGGTTCAGCAACCTGTGCGTCTGGTAGAGCTGCCCGCTTAAAGTCGGAGATGGATTCGGGGTATCTAAATATCTCCGAATTGAGGAGCGCGTCGTATGCTTCGGCCGCCCGTTCGTAGAACTCTGGGCCTTGGGAGTGAAGTTTCAGGGCATTGTGATACAACTTCAAAGCTTCCTCAATCTGAAGCTCCTTGGTGTCATCGACTTCTTCTTCAACTGCATCGTCTGGTTCAACATTCAGAGCTAGCCAGCTCGCCATGGTTCAGGTTCAGGATCCCCGTAATACTCTGTCACGTATAAATGAGGGGGGTTGAAGAGTTCCGGCCGCATCGCCGAGACCTGAAGATTCGAGCGACAGTAGAGGGAGAGTAGTGCCAATGGTGAATATGTCAATGTCAACGTCAATCGCGGGTGCGCGGTAAGTGCACACGCGCGGAACCCAATCAGGCAAGGGCGGTCTCCGCCTTGTTGCCTGATGGCCTGAAGCTCCTTCGGACTGTTTGATCTCCTGCCATTCCCCAAGTCTCCCCCTCCATCCTCAAAGCGCCAGTCTCTCTTTCTATTTAGACTTACTTTTCGCTCAATACCCTTGTTTTTCTCTCCTGCGACGTATGCGCAGGCGCCATGGTCGCGCCCGCTGTTCCAGAGTATGTGACTCCTGAAACGCCCCGGTTTACGTGTTCCCCGGTGATGCATGCGCTTGGCCATTGTCCGCTGTACGCGGGGTCTACAATTGCGCTTTCTTTAATGAATTGTCACTGATTGTGTATTTTTTCAATTAGGATCCATGAGGAGGAGGATATCTATGTCGCCGTCGATGCGCGCTCAGACTCATTGCAGAGCCTTAGGGAATTAGGACCTCCAGACTTGGTGTACTTGGTGAAGCAGCCAAAGGCCAATTCCACCCGCCAGGTATTTCTTTACAATTATCCCTGCATTTCTACGCCGATACAACTAACAATACATGATCTTCTTTCTTTGTAGACCGGTGTGTACCACCATGTGACAGGAATCGATGCCTCCTCATCCGCGAGCCTCGCGGCCTACGTCAACACCCTCACCTTCTCCCCGCTGGATAAGACACACAAGGTTGTCTCGGGAATTTACTGGTCAGAATTTCTCATGCCCACCATCCGTGCCAAAGATACCCCGGCTGACATTGGTACAGCTGCTACAATGCATTCTCTCACCTGGACATGCGAGTCGAAGTCAAGATTCCCGGAAGCTTAGAAAGTTATTGTATCGACGAGCGCGGAGACAAGCGAGTAGCCACAGAGGCTCTCTGGCTGGAAACCTTCCTTTGCTCCGTCTTGAGGGCTTATCAGTATGCTGATAATGGAGGTGGAGACGCCATCAAGAAGATCGTTGGTGTCAGGCGGTTCAACCCCGTTACGAACACAGAGATGGAACATAAGTTCTTGGATGCTGCCGAAAAGCTGTTTTTCTTAGGTGAGTGATTAATCTCTGAATATAGTGTATCAATACTAACCATGCTACAGGCCGTCAACTCAGCTCCGACCCGGAAACACAAGTCCCTAACACCGTAACCAACCACCTGACATCCGGTATTCTCAAGTACATCTACACCACCGGACGCTACACATCCGGTATCAACCTCTTTGAGAAGCTACGCACACGGGACGTGGAAGTATCATCTCTATTGGCTCGTGTTCAATTGATGGCGGATGAGGAAGTGCAAGCAGTACGATTGATGTATGATGCTCTTCAAGATGTTCCCATGGACTATGCTCTCCTCGATTGCCAGGCTTCTTTCTGTCAGGAGAAGGGTGAGTGTGAAATGGCCCTGGAATGCGCCAAGCGAGCAGTCACCGCGGCGCCCAGTGAGTTCAGCACCTGGGCTCGACTGGCAGAGGTATATGTCGGCATGGAGCGATGGGATTTGGCACTCCTGACTCTGAACTCCTGTCCTATGTTCACGTATCAGGACAAAGATACCCCGCGCATGCCTCAGCCGTCTCGCATTATGCTTCCAATCCTGTCTGAAAGCATTCTTGAGGAGATTGACGAAGGTCAGCCCAAGCAGGGCGATCCCCACGACTATATCCACCCTACCCTCCGCAAACTTCATGCAGCCAACTACCAGGGAACATTCCTCAAGGCCTACAATTTACTCACTAAGATTGCTGCGGCGATCGGTTGGGATCAACTGCTGAGAGTCCGGAGCGAGGTTTTTGTCATGGAGGAGGAATACCGCGTGGAGCGTACACACGTCCCTAAGCCGGCTCAGTCTTTGGATGCCGAAACAAATGGGCAAGCCATTGAGGATGATGAGGCTGAGGACAACGAAGATGACTCCGGCTCTGTGTCAGGCCCTGCTGAAAATGCGCCGAACGGGACTGCGGACGAAGCGGCCACTGGAAGCTCTATTGAGCGCCCAGAACAAACCGTGGCATCGGAAGTTGTCAAGTCCGGAAGTGATGATGTGAGTTGCAAACTTTGAAGTCAAATTGCTGAGTGGAGTGTACTAATGATCTCGATAGCCCGATCCTTCTCACAGTGCCTACACCCAGTTCCATAACAAACGTCTGTGTGAGCGATGGCTGGATAACCTATTTATGGTGCTCTACGAGGACCTGCGAGTCTATACAATCTGGCGCACTGAGATGGCTCAGTCTCGCCAACAGGCGACAGAATACAAGAAGTCAGCCACTGAATGGGAAATCTTGGGCGAACTTGCCGAACGCCTACACCACTTCGATGAGGGCATCGAGGCATATCAGGCTTGTCTGGCAACCCGTTTCTCGCCTAAGGCTACACGAGGTCTCCTCAAGCTTTACGAGCAAAGAAATGACACTCGAGGCATGCTCGGTGCACTAATTCGCCTGATCGCCTGGCAATATCGCTGGTATTCCGAGGTATGAATCGCTATCTATGGAAAAAGACACAAAAAATCCCAACTAACCTCGAATTATAGTTCTCGCCGGATCTTCTTTACTTGGTGCGCAAACTCATTGAGGATGAGGGAGCCGTCAAGGTCCGCAGCATCGTGCAGGCTACCAACCTACCCCAGTCGGTTCTCGATCTCACCCATCAGTACTGCCAGCTCTGTGCCACTTTCCGAAGCAGCGGCAGTGACACTTAGATGTCGGTTTGGTAAATTGTGGGTGTTCAGTTAAAAAGGCGCTGGAAGGCGATAATGACCTCATTGATGAGCCCTGTTTTTGTTTCCCTCATGAAAGCTGCTGTCAGTCTATTGTTACAATGCAGGTTAGAAGGTATATAGTATATATTGGTTATTTTCTCGATCGCTCCAAGCTGTCAGGGCAAGTTCTATAGCAATACTAGTAGTAGTTAGTACTAGTAGCCCAAGGCAGGTGGGTCTGCTGCCGTCACTTGCCGGTACTAGTTAGTATTTTATTTGAAGACAATCATTGATACAAATATTGCAACCACTTGGCATGTATCTCATTTCACTTGCCGTTGAGCAACTTGAAGATTTAGGGGACATTCTCAGGCAGTCAAAGCATTGTCATTAGTACGCTCATGCACATACACATTCGGCAGTATGGATTGACATGCATGCCGCAGAAACATGCCCTAAGTCCAACTATTCCGAATAATCGACAAAGAATACCAACTACAAATCAAGCTACTAGTAGCGACCAAGTTCGACCAAGAATACGTGACGGGAAGCTCTACTATTTATGCTAGTAGTCAACCTTGGAATCTAGAGAAATCCAGTCCATGTTCGAGCTACACGAGAACGAAGATAATTCAAAATGCGACCATACTATAATTCGTCAAGAATAGCGACTCTTTTAGGGTTGAGTTCTCTGGTATAGAGCTATACTAGCTACTCGTTTACTCCGCATCGTCAACCTCAGCGAGATCCGACTCCTTGGGGACCTCACCACCTTTAGCCTTTGCTGCAGCCTCAGCGGGGCCGCTGGTCTTCGCCGTATCGGCAGCAGCTTCGACTTCCTCATCTACATCGTCGGCGGCCTCGGCATCTTCATCTTCATCTTCGTACTCCCCCTCGCCATCCTTGTCACCGTTGGCGCCGTTCTCGGTGACTTCTGTTTTGTCAGCGGCGGGGGCGGTTTTCTGCTTCTTGGCTGCTGGGGGACCTGCGCGAATAAATGAGCAAATGGGACTCGAGATAACATTTCAGGTGGGAAAGGAGATAGGAATGGGGATATTTGGGATGGAAGATAGGAGGCAAACGAACCTTCAGCCTCGGCTTCCTCGTCTTCGTCTTCGTCTGATTCAGACTCGGCCTCTTCGTCTACCTCTTCACCCCCCTCGTCACTCAGGTCGGGCTCAGAGTCCTCATATCTAGATCAATGCGCGCATCATGTCAGCCGCGGATCCTGCGGAAGTCGGATGGGTGGGGAGGGCAGTAGATTCGAAGATGATAGACCATCGCGATCAATGCGCAATGAGCAGGCATAAGCCGAATCTGGCTGAAACTCTGTGGAAATCTGGCGCAAAGTGATGCGCCGGTGGAATTGAAGCAAGGCGCAAGGGCGCAGAGCGTAGAGATGGTAGGGCTTACTCTTCCTCTTCTTCGCTATCATCGCTGGGGAGAGCCACAAGCTCTTCCTCCGGGTCATTCTTTCTCTTGCGGGTGGACATGATGGAATCGGGATTGGGGGGGAGGAAATAGAAGATATGGGTGGTTGGGGGAGGTGTGAGGGGAAAGGGAAAGGAAGGGTAGAAGTACAAGGGGGGAGGGAAAGGATGAGGATAGCCGAGGGCCTCCGATTTTAAATGGGAGAGCGCATAGAGGAAATGAACCCTTGGGGGGGAAATGGAAATGGAAAGGAAAAGGGAAAGGGAGGGGGGGCGCAACCCTGGGAGGGTGACGACATGCGATAGCTTACATGGTTTTGGTGGAGCTGGGGGATGCGCGGACGGGGAAGGGGAAGAAGATTGGGGGATATTGGGGGAGACCCGTGTCCCCCCTCTTTGATTTTCTGAGAAAGACACAGCTATGTACATTCCAATCCATGCTTACTGTGCCAAGAATTCAAAGTTGGCCATGCTCGGGTCTAACAGGTTCTCGTCAAGCCCGAACCCATAGGTGCCGACCATGTCGTAGATCAGGTCCGGTGGTGGAAATCCTTGCGCCATCGCATTTGCACCTCCTGGTACATCCTGTCCATCTACCACCCCATTATTCGTTCCAACTTGCCAACCTGACTCCCAAGAGTCAAACCGCTCTAGCATCTTACCCAATCCCCGCGCAATGTGCCGTGTCAAGTGTCGCTCACCCGCCGAGACGCAATTCATCAGGTCAATCACCCGCTCGACTAAGCGCCGCACTTGTCGAGCATTGATGCTGAGGTATGCCGAATTCCAGTTAATAGCAACCTTGAGTAGAAAAACCGCGGAGAATGTCACCATCGTGTGCGTGAAAATGGGAACCCCCACAATCGCGTCGCGGATATCGGGCTCCTCGAGGACCATGTTCAAACAGGCCATCGCGGACGATATAGCAATGTTGGCGGATTCCTTACGATCCATAGAGAAGACTGGGGTATTGGAAGGGGACAGTGCGCGCAGAGACAGTGAGTTGAGTTGGAATTTAGCGAAGTGATAATGCAATACTACACCCTTGGACGGATACGTTCGAACGTATGAACTGTCGCCTGCAAAAGTTTAGTATAGGTTCTTGATTCATTGCGTGCGTGAAAACCGAAGTCAAAAAAATATTAAAAAGGGGAAAGGCTTTTTAAGTAGCACATACCTGATCGAGGTTGCCAAAGCAATCTCCATTGATCGACCGCAACGTTATATACCCTCAACTGCCCAAAATCTTCCTCTGTCACCGCTTGCTCCGTGTCGCTACCGAACGTCCGATAGGCTTCGGTCAAGATCATGAACAAAGCCACTTGGGCTAAGAGACGAATATCTCCCGGGGCAACCATCGGCAACTCAAGGAAGGTCTCGTAGTTTCGAATGGCCACATCTTCATGTATAACAGGCGGTCGGCCATATGCGATACTGAAATGGTGGTCGCAAACATATAGCAGATACCACAACTGGGCTCGCTCGTACTGATCAGTGTTTCCACGAATCAAGCGTTGATAGCTCTGATGCAAGCCCATTTCGGTCGCAATGCGAACTGCATGCCCGGATAGCTTCCAACTCAGCTCTGACAGCCAAAATGCTCCAACACAGAGACCTCGAATATCGTCGAGCGTGTGAGCTCGGGTCAATGCCATGTTTGATACCAAAGATACATATTCGTGATAGCATAAATTCAATGTATCAGTCCGGTTGGGTATATGAAGTGCTGCAACCGTCAGAACAGCGGCGGAGAGAAGCGTTGATGCGCGCCGAACCGAGGTCAAGTCACGGTGGACCAGAATGATACCACCCCAAAGGAGTTGGTTCATGGTGCGGCTGAAGTATGCGAAAAGTTCTTCCGCCTCATGGAGCGAAATTAAGCCCCTTGAGATAAAATCCTCCTCTAAAAGCGTCGTCTTCGGGGCCTCTATATGATTATTCCTCAGATTGCGCAACTTAGTGACCTCGTATAAGCTGCGCATCGGTGCCGGAACGAGTTCCGGGTCTTGAAGGTCGGGTTCTTGGGAGTGTTCACGAGTGACGTCCATAACTACCCCCGGTCCCTCATGATGGCTTGTATGTGTTTGCGCCGTATGCGATGCATCGATCGAGGGCCGATGACTATGGTGCGAGGCAGCTGGGCTAATACCATTACGGGCATCACCGGTCGTGAATGTTGAGAGATCGGGCAATCCCGCCTGTCGCAACAATTGCCCAACGGCAGTCTGCAATTGCTGGAGTGTCGTGGTAGCTTGAGACTTCCATCTGGATGATCAATTGGGTTAGTGACCATTCGCGACGGCTTTCCGTGCAATTGCGATAATGAAAGGTAGGAGGCGGGAGGCCCAACGGCGCACATACACTCCATCATCGTCGACGAACTTCTGGGAGAAGTCGTTCACGACGCACTTAATTCCGCTACGAACACATTTCGTGCAATTGATTTCGCCGGCCCTGAATTCGCAGCGGATTTTATGGCGCTTGCACTCGGCGCCTAGGGCTTGTCAGCGAGATGTGGATGGCTAATGTGGGGAAGAATGCAACCCACAGGCGCGGGCTTTTGATATCTTGGGTGCTGGTGCACGCGAATCTGAGCGATTAGAGCCCTTTGGTGAATCCAAACCGGCGTCCGTTGACGACCGCTTCAGTGGAGTAGAAGCATCCATTGCAGCAGAAGTCGGTGATGCTCCGGGAAACTGGTGATGGCGGGGGAAGCGGAGGAAAGAGAGTCGGGACAACCCGAGTGGATTCTTTGGCTTGTGATCCGCCCTTTGCAGGGACTGTGCACCACCGACAACAGCCGGTCTTGAGGCGATGCCTGCCGATTCCGAGGTTGACAGTATTACATTACTACTAGGTGCTGTTGCTGTTGAATCTACTGACCGATTCTCCTTCCAGGACCTTCCTGGAGCCATGGGAATCCTTGTTGAATGACTAGCAACCACCTATCACGTCGCACTTCTCTCCAAGTCGGCTTGCTTTCCGAGTTCAGGTGTCAATGGTCCAGTCAAGCCTGGGGAATTTCTTGACTTGGGGGCCCCGAGATTAGGAGTCGAAGTCAATTCGTGCAGCAGATCCACCCTGAGCGTTCTTCAGGCCGGGCAAAGTCCGGTGCGGAGGATCCAAACAGCGGAGCGCCTCGGACTTGATGCGAATGCGGAGAATCACTTCTGGGCCTCTTAAAGTCAAACGTTACCAACAAGATTTTCTCCCAGCCTCGAATTTCCACCTCATTCTCCTCATCTAACCCGAAAATAATGCACGTTCTCATCACCGGCGGCGCCGGTTTCATCGGCCAACTGCTGGCCAAGGAGCTGCTGAATGACTCTACCTACCGCGTTACTCTGACCGACATTAATCAACCTCCAATTCCCAAGGGTGTTCGCTATCCTGAAAATGCGACTTCAATTAAGTCAGATCTTCTTACTGGCGCCAAGGAGGTTGTCACTTCCTCCCTCGAGGCAGTATACGCCTTCCACGGGATCATGTCGTCCGGGTCCGAGGCGAACTTCGATCTAGGCATGAGCGTGAACATCGATGCGACTCGCAATCTCCTCGAGGAATTACGGCGTACCTGTCCGGGCGTGCGAGTCATCTACTCTTCCAGTCAGGCTGTTTACGGTCAGCCACTACCAGAGATTGTGACTGACAACGTCATTCCCACCCCCGAATCCTCCTACGGTGCCGAGAAAATTGTCTGTGAGACTCTGGTCAACGAATATACCCGCCGCAAGTTCATTACGGGATTTACTCTGCGATTTCCTACTATATCTGTTCGCCCTGGTGCCCCTACTGCCGCCGCTTCATCTTTCCTCTCGGGCATGATCCGCGAACCTCTCGATGGCAAGGAGTGCGTTATTCCTATTGAAGATCGGGCCTTCAAGTCATGGCTCTGCTCGCCGAAGACTCTAGTGAGCAACCTTATTCATACACTTAGTCTACCTGCGGACTCTGTACCCCCGCATATCCGCCAGATCAACGTACCTGGTATCTGTGCCACCGTTCAGGATATGATGGATGCATTGGAAGTGGTAGGCGGAAAAGACAAGCTTTCTCTGCTTCAAGAAAAGGAGGATCCAGCTTTGATCCCCATCTTGAAGTCCTGGCCTACACAGTTTGACAATACCCAGGCTATCTCTCTAGGATTCAAGCGCGATGAATCTTTTGAACAAGCCGTGCGTGATTATAAGCAGCAACACGAGCAGTCATTACTTTAGTTTAGAAGATCTAAGACTAGAATATTATTTCAGAAACCTTGCCATAACTTCTTAGGTCTAACTCATATCAGTCGCATTGTATACTTCTACTAGTATTCATCGCCCGTAGACGACTTCACTCCTAATTAGGCCTTAGGCTGATCATCGCAAGAAATATCCGATCTCTGAGGGAGAATCGAATTTCATTTATTAATCTCACAGTCCCTTGTTGTCAGATGTTTGATGCTTCGATGCGTTTTCTTGCCGATTTATGGAAATTAAAGCTTAGTTAAAGATAGTAGAATAGCTATTGAAGGTGTCTGGATAAGTCTCCCGGGGTCTTATCTTCATTTAGAACGGCACTAACTTTAGAAACTACGAAATTAATCGCTTATTTGCCAGATCCCATGGGGGTATGGTTTACATGCAGATTTTATTCGACATGTCTCACGGTCTCTCCACATTTGATTTGAAGCAGCAGCCTTTGAATATCCAAAATCTTGATGATGTAATGTACAAAGGGCGTATAACTCAGTTGGTAGAGTGTTCGCTTTGCATGCGAAAAGTCTGGCGTTCGAATCGCCATTCGTCCATTTTTTGCTTCCCCTTCATCCGCCCTCTCTTCTTTCGTCTTATTTTTCTCATGGCAAGGCAAGAATCTGGGCTTTTTGTGTAGGTCTTTTTTTACGGCAGGAAAATCAATAATAAACATGATGTAGTGGTAGCCCTTGTTACCGGGCAAACTGGAAATTTAAACCACCTGGGCAGGTGATTAGGTATATAATAATAGTACTTAGGTAGTTACCAAGGTTTGATGGAATATTACTACCTAGGTCACGGTATTGGTACTAGTAGGTAACCTTGGAAATTACCATTCCAAGATTATTACACCTACTGATTCAATTAGTATGTGAGGTGCCCAGGTACGATGTGTAGATAGCGCAGTATCTGAGCGACAGAGCAGTGGAATTCGCGGAGATTCAAAGCTAGAAAAAGACTTGAAGAAGCCCTGACGCTATTGCGATAGCACTAGATACTACTATATATGTCCTAGGCATCTAGGCATTAAAGTATCAACACCGTGACGTGCTCAGGTGATTCATCACAAATTACATAACTACTAGTATAATATGTACCTGCACTCAAATAAGTCAAATCCTATCTATACTAGTATATGACAACTACTAGTATTAGTAGTAGTACTTACCAGTATTACTATACTTAGATCTTTGTCTCCTTTTCCTTCCTTCGTCCGGTAGCTTATTACTCTTGTGACTTTGTCCAATACTAATAGTACGTGTTTATATTTGATCAGCTTGAGTTCTTTACAAAAGATTCGGGTAATATACATTTCCCAATGGCTATTTTTCTCATATAATATCTATTCTAGCAAGTTTTCTAGGGGCGGCTGATTCCTACTGTCCTACTATAAGACTAATGTGTCTCAGATCAGAGTTTATGAATCAATCAAAGAAAGTGTAGATCTCGGAGGTAAAACTGATTTCTACTATCAACATCAAAACATCAAAACATCAAAACATACCTAGGTACCTAGGTAAAAACATCAAAGCATCAAAACAAGAAATTCACGTTGCAACAAACACTTCTCACTCTTCTCCCCCAAAACAAAATTGAGGTACAAAACAAGATACGACCCTCAGTCAGCTTCAGACGGCCGTCAGATGGTCGGCTGGCTTGTATTGGCATTCCCAGAGAAATGTCTCAGTTTGTAGCAGTTTCCTCTAAATATTTTCAAACTTGACAGACATGAGTCGTCCATTGTGCTCCTGGTCAACGCCTTGAGCGCCGACATACATGTAATCAATAGGAATGCAGTTTCCTTTCGGCACACGCCTCCCACTCTTATTCTTATAGTAACCGTCTTTCTCCTTAAGAAAATCGATCCGCTTATTTGAAGGACAGCCGGTCTATTATAATTGGAGTGTTAGTAAATGACTCCCAAAATATAGCATATTCAAATTTTCAACAGAGATGCTCATACCTCAGAGTAGGCGGTCATCTTACGTCTCCAGGCCAGGCCAGTTCCTCGGCCAAGCCAGATACTCTCGGTCGAGGAGTTGATATCGATACATCCTTTCTTTCCAGGCTGAATGTTTATGTTACGCTGGCTTCGGTGTTTTTCTCCATCGCCCCAGTTGCCATCACTAGCCCAATGTCAGCTTTTGTACCAGATTTTTGAGATGGGATATTACTTCTTACCAGTCATCTGAGGTGTATTGGTCAAGCTTGGATCGCGCTAAGGCATCGATTCCTTGGAAGAATAAGGCGAAGGAAAGGAGAAATGTGAGGATCGAAGTAGAATGCATGTTGGTGATCAGAGAGAATACAGGTTGCAGGGAAAAGTTCTGAGAACTGAGAGCAAACTTCAAGTTGGCTTGAATGGTTTGGATTGAGCAATTGCTGTTGATGAAAACTAATGTCCAGTACTTGATGGTCTTTATATACCTGCTTTTGCATTTTGATGACCTTCTCAAAAAGAAAGAGTTTCTATAAAAAGCCCGACAAGGCAAGGCTGCGAAGCAAACTCGAATAATAGCTCATGTCGTCATCACCTTCCCTAAATCAACGAATATATGTCGCCATTACGACGATAATGTCTTTGATTTGATAGAATATCATCAAATGCGGTAGGAAATCGACAATGAAACAATCACGGCTGTACATTGCCGTTGGTGTAGATGCTGACCCCTACTTTAGCTCGCCCCTATATAGGATCTGGCCCCATGGGCGGTTTGAGAGGAATATTAAACCTTACTACTCTTTCATCTACAATAATGTTGCCTATTTCACAGATAGCTCAGCAAGTATTATGGGGCCAGGAACAAACATAACCTTGGTACTCGTTTGAGATGCCGATAGCGACAATATATGGTGCATTGGCCCAAGAAGTACTTGCATCCGTGGTCAATCATACACGTTTCAGATTTAAGTAGCCCAATTATATGCCCATATCAAATGTTCCAGGGTCTCCTCGCCCGGCCCGTCCCCCGCCACCCCGCCCCGCCCCGCCCTGCCCTGCCAGGCCCCGTTGCCTGCATACAACAGGAAAAGGCAGTGGGCGGTCTAATCGACAATAAGAATTACCTATTCTCGACTATTCGTATGAGTCAATTTTGTGGCGACGTCATTAGAATATGCCTTAGGATTGGATCTCCAAATCCTCCGAATGTTTTCTCTAATGGTTATCTTGCATCTCCTGTTGGTTGTTGGGTTCTGTGTTCTAAAATAAGAAAGTTGTAGCTAGAATGATTATGTAGACATGGAAGGTACCTAGGTATAAATACCCTCATTGGAATACATGGTGATCCATTCCTTAGCTTTGATTCCTGACCATTATCTCTCTACTTTTACCAAGCAAGCCTTGCAATATGTCTCCCCTTTCATATTATCTCATTTCACTCCTTCTCTCCAGCGGTGGCCTTGCTGTGACTGTGAGGGGCTACTGGACCGACAACTGCCGTTTTCCTGGTGGTACCAATGGACAATGCACAAATCTTCCCGAGAATGAGTGTTGTATCTTTTCATATGAAAGAGTCCCCCTGCCTGGAGTTGGTGACTTCAGCGGTAACACACGCTCTGTTGAATGGACTAGTTTTTCAGAATGTCAACTGCTGAAGTGGTATGATCCAAACAGCGGTAATGGTAGACAGCCTGGCACGAAGGAATACAATTGTGGGGGGAGGATTCGCGACGTTTTCGTCAGTGGACATACTACAAGACATTGTATGTCTTCCACGCATGATCTTCCTCCTTATCCTAATAGAGGACATAATGGAGGACGACACGATGGAGCTTCATGGTATGTATTGTCAATCTTATCATCGCATTTCATGAGAGGGTAAACCCTCTGTCTTTCAAGCCAGTATAGACTACCTTTCTTTTACTGATACAAGGCGCGTCTGTTAGGTCCGACATTATTTCTGAAGTGAAGGAACACGGATATACCGGTCACTTTGTGACACCTGGAAATTGTGGAAAGGAAAAGGACTATGGTTCAGACCTTAAGGAGGTAGTCTCCGACCTATCAAAGAACTTACATCTTCCGAGCTCATCAGGTTCAATGATATTTGGGTCATTGTCTCACAAGAGAGGCGAGGAACGCCGTGAAGCTATCAAAACTCAGCGTACTCTGGAAGAAGCATTCTCGAAGAGCAAATGCAAAGGACTTGTTTATGCCACCCATTGGGGATGGACTCCCGGAACTGGAGTCTGGGTGTTGGAAGGGTCAAAGGAGAATCATGAGCGTCTGGCGAATTTGCCGAAGGACCACTCTCTGGGCTGGAACGGCAGACTGAAATTGGCTGGTGCTGCCTACTACGACCACTGTACGTCACTTTACCTTACCTTGCTAATAATTTTACCCCAATTCTCCCACAAAGCCCTATAATTAACGTATTGGGATTACAGGGGCGGAGCGTTTTGAAACCAGAGATGTAATGGTAGACATGGGATATGATTACACAGAAGACGACGTTAAGCACGCCAAGGCAAAGCGGTCAACCGGCGAAGATGCACCTGTCGATGACTATTTACCGGTTAACATCCATGCTGATTTCCAGTCTGCGGAAGATCAAAGTCAGTCTGATCTCAAGAAGAGATCTCACGATGGCCCTACAGATGATAGCTTCCCCGACATTACCGAACGGTCGTCTGAAGAAGAATCTGAAGACGATGACCTCTCTGATATTGAGAAGCGATCCAGCAATATCCTTGCAGATGATAGCTTCCCCGACATTACCGAACGGTCGTCTGAAGAAGAATCTGAAGACGATGACCTCTCTGATATTGAGAAGCGATCCAGCAATATCCTTGCAGATGATAGCTTCCCCGACATTACCGAACGGTCGTCTGAAGAAGAATCTGAAGACGATGACCTCTCTGATATTGAGAAGCGATCCAGCAATATCTTTGCAGATGATAGCTTTCCCGACATTACCGATTGATCCGACAACATGTCTCAGAGAAATGCCTAGGTACTAGCCTTCCGCAATTTGATAAAGGACGGTCCTTGCTCGCAGCATTCGAAGTATTGCTTTCTATTTGCCGTTCATGTTTTTGTATATCTCTTTCTGACTACCTAGGTAGGCTAGAATGAGCTTGTTCATGTTCGCTTGTTGATAGGTTTCCGATGTAACTTAGTCAGTCACTGGAAATAAATTATGCCTTTCATATTGCATTGGTCTTTCTACAGGGATATTTAATGAGGTCGTCTCGGCCAGTAGAAGCTCCAGACAAAGCACTATCCATGTAACCAAGGAGATTCAAATAGTGATCCACGAATGTCATAGTCCATCAGCTTGGAAGGTGTAGATACCAAGCAACTGGTCCCATTGAAGCTTGTATAGGCTATATAATTCAATCGCGGAGATTTTCTGCTTAATCTAATATCACTAAATTATATCTACGTAATATCTTAGAGTTTCATAGACATGACCCATGTAGTACAGCCTTGGAGGCCTTGATCAAGCAAAGATTCTAATAAATGTGTTTATTAACTAGATTGCGACAAATGAATTCCCTATCTCATCGTATGCCCATTTCCTTGGGAGCTGCTATCCTACCCATGTGATCACTAGCATAGTCAAAAGGACGATATTTGTAGAACAACCCCCTAAATCAGAGCTTTGTATCCTCCGCCTCAAAACTCCGTAGAGTTCGGAGGTAAGACATCCTCCCAAATAAAGGTCTCGTCGCAAAGCCCTCATCAAGTGACTTCTCAATGGCAGCTTTACTCCATCGACAATCACGCCCTATAATCAAATCTATCAGCACATGAAGTTCAAAAGGCGCAAATTGCCTTACAGTGGCTGTAATGGACCGCTCCACAGCTTTCTAGTGCCTCATGCCAGTGCAGGAAATTTTTGCCTAGCAGGAATTTAAGATCGTCAAAAATTTCTGGTGTCGCCTCTAGGGCCCAGACCCCTTCGTCTTTATCCCAAGCAAATATCACCTGGTCGTTGAGAGGTTCAGACTCAGCACGTTGCTTTTTGTAATCGAGCATCCACTCCGTGTTTGATAGAAACAAGAGACATGGTTTAGCTTCATTGTTACCCATCTCCAGGGCTGTAGTAAGATCCGACTTAAGGGACCGCCTCCATGCAAGGTAACCAGGAGGTTCCACTGGCGGAGGTTCCAGTTCGCAAATTTGCATGATTTCTTTTTCTCTTTTCAGGAGGAACTTGGATATGGTAAGGATGGTTCTGGAGTATTCTCACAAAACGAAAAATGGTAGCAGAGAAATAAATAAGAGCAAAGAAGGACGGGAGAATAGAAAGGACTCAGATAGATAAAGGGAGGGGAAAGAGGGAACGGTGGCGAGTTGATGTACTAGTACATGCCTACCTAGGTACTAACTAACTAGCTAGGTACATGGGGCCATCCATGGACGTGCCCCGTTTGGCCCCGAATTATTAATAGACCGCCCCTTCCATAATTGACTAGTCACCATGCCAGCAACTTGAACACTTACGGTGATTTCCCTCGACTGGGCCATTTACCGACACACAGCGCTTCATCTGAGATATATAGACGGGGCAGACCAAATATTGCGCGTCACCATTGCCGATCCCTTCAAGTTTTTCGAATATTCGTCTCTTGAATCTGGCACCCCGGCGGATACGAAATTGAACTTGAAGATATAAACTCTTACAACCTAGGTACTAGTGTCCATGTACAGTATTAAATGCATACAAACATGATGCATTGAGCTCCCTCCCTCCTCCCTCGGCCCTCGAAGCACTCCAAGATTCAAGTTGTTGAATGGAAGTTATATCGGCGATTAATTATAGAATAAATATTGTCTCTAGTACGAGTGGAATTTGATGTGACACCTGGAAATGTAGCTCGAGTACCAAGAACTAATTCAAATGTGAGAGAAGAGTAGAGTTTACTTCCAAACCTGGGATTGATTTAGCACGAGTTCGGCAGTCCATTCAGCAGCAAGCCCAAACCTGTCCATCAATAGCAATCAACCGATTGAATAGCTGATTCCGAGTTCCCATAGCCGTAAGTTGGAATGACTCCTTGGGGTCTTTGCCCACAATTTGTAAACCGTCAACAACCTCTTTGCTCCCCAATGCCCAGCCAACCACCAGCTTCCCTTTCCATCCTAGTCCACCAAGCTTCTTCATTTCTCGAATATCGGCGACGGGGATCTGAAACAAGACCGAGCTCTCCTTCTGGTTCCTTAACTGAAGGTCGTCATCTTGAAGAGAATCGGTCGTGAAATAGAGCATTGTAGGTTCACTCGTGGAATCTATGATCACTGTGCCGCGTTTTCCTTTGTACCTGGCATCGAACTTGGCTGGTCCGATTGGTGAGCTGAGTTTACCTTTTGATCGAAGAACCCCGACTCGGTTTTTGGCATGGCGTGAGCCTATTGTGGCCTTGATACGATCGAACCCTCGTTTCCCCTCCACGCCTGTGGCTGTTGTTCCTCTGAAGAAACGTATAATACTGGATGCTATCGTATTTTTTTGAGATGTGTGCGTTGGAGAGCTCGTGATATCTGGGGGATTGGGGGGCTCGGCTGCTGCTGCCTCTTCCATTTCTTCCCTTGAAGCTCCGAGTTCGAGTTCCTCGTGATGAAGAGAAATTGGGCGTGAAGAAGGCTTGTCTTGACAAGTTGAAGGCGGGGGAAGTGGTGAAGCATTGGCCTCGCCGATCCGCAATAGTGTCAAGGTCAGTTGGGCGTTTGTAGGAACGCCCTTGAGAAGAGAACTTTGAATAATTAGCAAATATATCCCAGGATTGTATAAAAGCGTGGGAACAACTTTTGTATCTGGAGAAGCTTCTGCCACTTTGGATATTTTCGATTCAAGAAAGAAAAACCCCGCATAATAATAGGACCCCCAAAAATCGAAAACCCTGCTAATAGTCCGATTCCTTTTGAAGCGACATAGACAGAAGTTGACTTAGCCACGAAGCAAGATGGAAGTAGGACAGCTACTAGCCGCAAACGGGGTATCCATTGAGGGAATGGCGGCGTAGCGGACAAGGCACTATGAACCATGGTTAGATATAGGCAGGGAAAGAGAGCTTAACAAATTCAAAGATTTGCAAGAGGCATATACTTGGAAAGTTTCTCGAAAGTATCGGTGGCATCGTTAATCAATTGCATTCCCATATTGGCTGCTTCCATGACAGATTCTCTCATAGGCTGTCGGGTTTTGTCGTGTGATTCAGAAGGGATTCTTCCACTAGCAGCACTCTGTGCATCTGCCGTGTTGGCGACAACATCCATAGCATCTGGAACAGTACCCTCCAATGGTGCACCTTCAGGCACTCCTTGATCATGTTTCCCGACTGCGCTTCCCACAGCAACACTCGCAACGCTCGCGACAAGGTTGCTGGCTTCCTGCTCGGCTGCCTCCCCCTTGAACCTCTCAGGGGCACCGGTGATGCTTTCCTCTGACCCAAGCATCCCCGCCTGGGGCTTTTGGACACCGCCGGTGCTTTTATCCACTAGAGCAATCGGTGCGGGTGGGAATAAGATGGGTCGACATGGCGGATATATCACCAAAGCTATCAAAGCGACAAATAATGAAGGGAGAATGATGTCTAGGAGCCACGCTAAGGAGTAGGCCTAAAATTAGTGAGCAAATGACCAAAAATTCCTAGAGAGGGTTGAACAAACGAGACAAAATATAGCTGTTCGTCGAGGTTCTTTCCAAGAGCGCAATCGGGCAACATGCTTGACAAAACTTGCGAGTGTGACAACAACCGATGTATAGAATCGCTCGATTGTGGCACGAAGCTTATCTGGGGTGAATTCATCGTCATCTGCGCGGGTCAAGTCCAGGTTTTGGAGTGGAGCGTCTGGAACAGCTTTGACGTTGTATACTTGCTTCAAGTTTGAATTGGGTCTCAGTTAACATAAACATCGCGTCTTGGTTTTGAATCGTACCTTGTCAAACCGCCGGATCAACATCCAAAGATTCTCATTCGATAGACCAGCGATCAACCGTTCTTCGATGTGTTCAACAGGCTTAGCCCATCCAAGGTCGGTGATCTCTGTGCTATCTCCGCCAAGTTGTGATGCACCCTTTTCGTCTGGCTCGATCTGGGAAAGAATGTGGCTATCGGTTGGCCCCTCTGGAGTCAATGAATTGTCCGTGGACTTGTCCACAGCATTCGCCATACTGATGGCTCTGTTCCGAAAGTGCGCGGGTACTAGTTGTAGTATGTGGCCGATATTGGGTGTAGAGTGAGAATTAGCATGGAAAGGAAAAGTAACAAACAGAACTGACGACACGATGGTGACCTATAAGTGATCCTCCCTTGGATCTTCCCACAGATTGGTTCTGTCGGCTCTTTTACAGGGTTTCTTGCCTGGTACTCCGCATGGCCGGGGTGTCGACGTCATCTTCGACGCTGCCAAATCAGATCCAAAAAACCCTCGAACCTGGAAGCTTGGACCTGGTTTTCGTGCTCCGTTCGATTCCCATGAAAGAAACAGGCTTTAATTACTCATCAGATCCACCTGCCTTGATCTGTTTGTGATATTTCGTTTGTTCCTCAGAGTTCACCAATGTAGTCACATGACTGACCAGGATCGCGTTCCCAAAGAGGAAATCCGCGACGCGTCCAAGTATCGCTGAACAGCCATCTAACCATCCCAGCTAGCCCGATGGCCGCCGACCATCATGAGCGAGGAATGCGCAAACCCTCTCTTGCTGGGCTGGATCAAGGAATGGCTCGATGAAGCCCGTGAGCGGAACAGCAAGGGCGTGACTGTGTTTGTATCCCACGCCCTTCTACTATGGTCCAACTAACAGACTTCTAGTTACAAAAAGGCCTATGAGTCGATGAAAGCATGCCCGTTGGAATTCCAGCATCCATCACAAGCACAGCAATTGAATGGGCTCGGCCCTAAGCTATGCGATCGTCTGACAGACAAATTGAAGGCTTATTGCAGGGAACATAGTCTGCTTATGCCAGAGCCGCCTGGTCAAGGTCAGTATACTATCTTACCAAGCCCCATGCGAATACCCGAGCCCATAGCTAATTGTAAGAAATAGCCAACAAGAGAACATCCGATGCCGGTGGTGTGGATCAGCCTTCTAAGAAGCCCCGCAAAGCTAAACCATATGTTCCAGCTCTACGATCCGGTGCCTATGCGTTGCTCTTAGGCTTGGCTACCATAGGTGAAAATGCTTCACAAGGAATGACAAAGGCACACCTTGTTGAAGTGGCTCAGCCTTACTGTGACAGTTCTTTCACGGCCCCTACGGACCCAACGAAATTCTACACTGCATGGAATTCGATGAAGACGTTGATCCAGAAGGATCTAGTCTACGAACATGGGCGCCCTCTCAGGAAATACGCCCTCTCGGAGGATGGTTGGGAGGTTGCTAAACGCATTCAGAAGACTCTCCCTGGATATTCTGAGAGTGCGATGCCCTTGGCAGGTAATCAGGCATCCACCTCGCAACGAACTACAGCCCCGAATGACGACGATAACGACGAGTCCGAGACACCGCAACACATCTTAGGATGGGCCACCAATACTGAAGGCCCTACCGAACCCATCACTCTGCCACCGGGCAGTTTCACGATTCAATTGGTACTCGACACGCGAGAAGTGCGCACTTCCACAGATCGCGACTACATCGCCAACGAGCTCATGAAACAAGGAATTACTCCACAAGTGCGGGCCTTAGAACTTGGCGACGTTATGTGGGTAGCCAAATGCCACGATCTAGCATTCATGTCGCGTCACGGCGAGGAGGGCGATGAGGTGATGCTAGACTGGATCATCGAACGAAAACGCCTCGATGATCTCATCGGCTCTATCAAAGACGGCCGATTCCACGAACAAAAGTTTCGTCTCCGCCGGTCTGGCATTAAAAACATCATCTACCTCATTGAGGAATTTACAGTCACCCACCCAGACGCTGGCAGCGGAAGTGGGCCGAAATACCACGAGATGGTCGCCTCCGCTATCGCCTCGACGCAAGTCGTCAATGGGTATTTCATGAAAAAGACCAAAAATTTGGACGACTCTATTCGATATCTGGCACGCATGACCCTGCTTCTACGAAAGATGTACGGTGCGCAAGACCCCCCCCTCAAACGGAGATCTGAGCACTAGTCCACCCCAAAACACCTCCAATGCGAAAAAAGTGGCATTCATTCCAAGTCGACGACTCTCCTCCACACAGTCCTACCTGACTCTTCTCGACGAACTTCGCGCCAAAGATCCTACCCTTACCTACGGCGTCACATTTTCTACCTTCTCAGCGCTAACATCGAAATCTGACGTCTTATCCCTTCGTGATATCTTCCTGAAAATGCTCATGTGTACCCGTGGTGTGAGCGGTGAAAAGGCGCTAGAAATCCAACGGCGATGGCAAACCCCTCGTGCATTTGTCGAGGCGTATCAGGCTCTGGAGCCGCAGAATCGAGAGACCATGGTCTCGGAAAAACTGCAGTCGTTGGTGGGCAGGAAGAAGGTGGGCAAGGCCCAGAGCAAGAAAATCGCAGAAATTTGGGGCGAAGGCGGGAAATGAGTAGAGTGTAGGTAGTTAATTGGTATTGAATATTAAATACAACAAGGGACCTCGCATGGAATGCGAGAGCCGCTATGCAGAACAAAACGAAAATCATTAATCATACATTCTTGTCAGCATGCATACAATATTACTTCTTGCGGCTGAAAAGCCTCCGAATAGTCTGCCCATCAATCCTGAGCGCCAGGCTACTGGTAACAACAGAGATACTGCTGAGAGCCATGGCTAGGGCAGCCCACACAGGACTCAGTCTCCAGTGTTCATTAACAGTAATTGTTTCATGTCCGATCATCTTCTCATGATGACCGCTGACGATAGGGTAAAAAACACCCGCGGCGACCGGGACAAGACACAAGTTATAGATAACAGCCCAGCCAAAATTCATTCTAACGCGATTGAATACACGTCGACTGAGAAGAACTAGCTGCAGGATGGTGCTCAGATCCGAGTTCAGGAGAATGAAGCTGGCAGAGTTGATGGCGACGTCGGAGCCTGAGGCCATAGCAATGCTCACGTCCGCGGCAGCAAGGGCCGGAGAATCATTTACACCGTCTCCAACGAAGGCGACAATAGGCCGAGTTGCCTTCGAATTCTTTGATACCTTGGCTTCGGTTCCGGCAGACAATGTCTTCACTGACCCTTCTTGGACCTGGCGGACGAAAGCCGCCTTCTCTGCTGGCAGGACGTTGGCCATGACGTTGGAACGTGGGATTCCCAGCATATCGGCAACCGCGTGGGCGGTTGTTTGGTTGTCGCCTGTGCACATGAAGACCTCAACATGGCGATCATTGAGTTTGGAGATAACTTCAATGGCTTCTGGTCGAATGGTGTCCGAGGTTGCGAAAACAATTGCGGGGATAAATGTAGATGCCTCTGCAGAATCCGAGTCGATGCGGCGTACGGAGAGGATAGCAGTTGACTTGCATGCGGACTGGAACTTTGACAGCAAATTCGACACAAAGTAGGTGTCAGTTTCGGAAGGAAGAATGTTGTGTAGAAGACGCTCGTTACCGATGGCAGCTTCATATTTCTCCACGGACCCAGACGCAGCGGTAGAAACAGTGAAAGTCCCCTTCATGCCTTGGCCAGAGATCTCTTGGATATCGGATGATTCAACGGTTGCTGTTGACCGAGTCTGGCAAAAAGCAGAGATAGCCTGCGCTATCGGATGGTTGCTACTTTCTTCCATTTTCTGAGCAAGTGCCCATGCGATCGTCACTAGCCCACCATCGTTTGTCAAAACTTCATGGTCGGAAACTTTAAGGCTTCCACCCTCGGTCAATGTACCAGTCTTATCAAAGACAATGGCGTCAAGACGGCTAGCTTCTTGGAAAGCTTCTCCGCCACCCTTGACGAGGATACCGTGCTTTGCAGCGAGACCACCCCCGACAAACAACGCAGTGGGAGCAGCGAGTGCCAGACCGCAAGGACAAGCAACCACAAACACGGCAATCGCGAACTCCAGGCTCCAAAAAGTCCAGCCACCACGAGCAATGTCCAGATAATTTTGAGGCAGGACACCCGCATGACCCAGAGCGAGCCAAATCAAGAAAGTAAGTATGGCGATGAGAGTTATAACAGGCACAAAATGGGAAGTGAGCATATCGGCAACTCTTTCAAGAGGCGCACGCTTGCTTTGGCCTTCGCGTACAACGGCAATGATTCGATCGAGCATAGACGACCCTCCAAGTTCGGTGATTTTGATATGCACGGGCTGGCCCACATTGACAGAGCCGGTATAAACGTTGTCCCCGGCTGTTTTCTTGACAGGACGGGATTCTCCGGTCAAAGAGCTCTCGTCGAATTGATAAGAGGCATCGCCGACAACAACACCATCTGCAGGGGAGAAGCCCCATGAGGAATGCGTACTGTATCACCAACCTCTAAAAGGTCAACGCTGACTCGTGTCATTTGGTCTGAAACTGGACTGTCGGGGGGTTTGGGCGGATTCGAGAACCTGGTTCCCAACTAGGAGCGCCTCGGAGGGCCGAAGTTTCCCCAATGAGGAAACTGCATCTCCTGTTTTGGCTTTGCTGTATGCCTCCAAGAACCGACCGCAAAGAATAAACAAGGTCAAGAAAACAACAGAGTCGAAGTAGGTCGTGCTGTGGGCACTGCTGTGACTTCCCGCAACAGCGTCAACGATGAGTACAGCCAGCGATGAGAAGTATGCGACCGACGTTCCTGCTGATATCAAGAGGTTCATGCTGCCGAAGCGGTAGAATCTCCGCATGATCGGCACTCGGCTTCCAGGGCGCCACAAAGCGTGGACCTCCTTGAGGGCTCGGGTGTGAAAGACATCGGTACCATAAATCATAACCGGGGTCGACATTATAAAAAGTGCCCATTCGATGCGAGTGACGCTACCAGACCAGATAGTTTGCTCAAGATACCTGCGGACTGAATTTTCTGATGGGACAAGAGACATAAAGACAATACCAATAAGGAATGTAGGAATAGCAGCAACAAAAACAAATAGCAGACGAGTAAGTAGTCTGCGTCGCTCATGCAGTTGCATCGCACGGGAGCGATCTTCGATAGTTGGTGGGTGGTAGATGCTAGGGGTGAAGGCGCCGTTGGCATCCGTAATGGCAGCGATTATTGAGCGAATCGTCAAGGATGGCTGCGGCAAGTATGTGATTTTGAGAATCGGCTTGGCCTCGCAAATAGTTCCCTCCACTGTGACGCCCGGGAGCAATCTAATAGCGGAGAGAACCTTCTCAGGGCAATGATGACAGAACATCCCATCGACATGGATCGAGACCACTCTAGGCTGGAGAGAACTGGTTTCATCCTTGACCTCGCTCAGGGGATGGACACTGTTGACAACGGCATCATAGCCTAGATCCTCAATCTTTTCCACAATCTTGTCTAGATTCTCTTCTCCTTCGAATTCAATCCTGCCACTATGTGACAGAAGGTTGACAGAGATATTTCGAATAAATGACAGCTCTTCCAATCCTCGGGTTACTGCTCCAACACAAGAACCACAAGTCATTCCGGTTATTGCGATTTCCGTAACGAAGCCTGATGATATTAGGGCTTGTCCTAGGGTTAAATCCTGAGCGACCGGGTTGACTTCGTCCAAAAAGGCATCAAAGCCAATGTCCTCGATTTGTTCCGTGATTAAATTAGCATTATCCCGAGGGCCAGTGTACACCACTGTCGCACTATTCGTGAGGAGGTTGACTTGAATTTCTTTGACGTAATCCAACTGCTCGAGCGCAGCAGTGATGCCATTAGCGCACGAGGCGCAACTCATTCCTCCAATACTGATTCGGGCGTTAAATTCATCGGTTGTCGGTGGTGATTGGAAGGTTTTAGGGGTGTGATCATCATCACTGATCTCTCTTGGTGGTGACGTGTAGGCAACATCCCGTGGGCTTGATGAGCAAGAAGCTTCGATGTCTGTTTCCTCTGCGATATCATGGGGGTATTTTTCAGGAAATGGCTCGGCCTGGGTGGAATACAAAGAAATGTTATCGGCCTCTTCCTTTTGGCAGGCCTCACAGTTGGCAATGTGTCGTTTTTCTCTGCTTGAATGTAGTCGCTCCTTAATGTTGGAAGAGATGCTGGAATAAGATGTTCGGGGCGTGGAAAATACATGTGAGCTCCGGTGATTCCATGAAGTGGTGTCAAGCTCTGAAACGATTGAACCACGCTCATCAAAGGTTGTGGCATGGTATACTTCAAAGGCAGCCTGAATGAGGGCGACAACAAGGTCTGCTGGATGCGCCGAGGGACCATGGGAGACGCGGACTTCGTGTGTCAGGATCGAGACATCAATATCCGCCACGGTAGGAATTTCAGAGAGAACTTCGGTGATGTAGGAGACACAAGACGAGCAATGAACATTGCTCACCCAAAACACGCTTCTTCGCGGGTGGGTCTCGGAAGTTTGCGCCTGCATATTGTGGCGCGACAGGCTTTTCCGGCCTGCTGGGGACTAAGTATATGGAAGGCGTGGAGCTGTAGAGGGAAATGATGTATCGATCACCGATGGGGGAATGGTAGATCGGATCGAGATCTCGAAAATGTTGAGGCGAGATTTTCAAAATTCAATGTTCAGATGGGTGGATATTGAGTATTAAGAACCCAGGGGTACCGCGCGGGTCTAGCGATCAGCTTTGATGATGGCGGAATCGCAAAGCCGAGCGGCACATGCGACAGTAGATGTTACAGAAAGAAGGGGATAGGCATCAAAAGGATGAATCGGATTGTCATAACGTTTTATTTAAAGGGGAAAGAAAGAAAGGTTGGAAGCTGGTGGAGGAGGCGCGAAAGGCGAAGATGCGCCATTTGTGCGTTGGAGTTGCCTTTCTACGCACAAATACCGCAACCCAGCATTCCGAATGTTGAGAGAGCCATGGGCATCGTGCAGTATGTGGCTAGGATCGGAGTGGGGAACAAGGAATGTCAAGTTGAAGGCTGTCGCAAGGATAATGTCCGAAGATGGATTCAAAAGCGAACTGGCAGCTGGCAGATGCTGGTAACCATGTGTTGGTGTGCACCTTCCACTTTTACTCTTTTCCTCTTTCCCGTTGCGAGGCAGGCACGACCCATGAATATCCAGCACATGACTCAATTTATCTATACTATCTATACTAGTACTATAATATACCCTATAATAGCATATAGTAAACTATATACTATATTATAATATAGTCTAGTAGACTCTACGCATATTGTTCATGACTCATTCCCATAGTTATACCTACCATAATAAGATATCCAGAATTGGCCCCGAATTGAACGCGCGCCACTCTTTGCAGTGTATCACGTGTCTGCGCCGCTAGACCACCCGCGGGACTTCACCACGAAAAATCCTTTCATCACCCTCGCCCCACACCACTTCGCGTCTACCCTAAGGTACCTTCTTATCACTTATCTTTTTTATGCCTGCAACTTTATGGTGTCTCTACGATCTAAGAGTTCTTTCCGGACTACATTTCGCCAGGGTATTGTGACCTGGGGCTAGCAGGCTGGGACTCCTGATCAACCCTCAATTCGGCCATCTCTATCTCCTCATCCTCAACCTAAGGTCACCTTTACTCCCATTTCCAACCATCAACCTTCCTCCACTCATCAGTCATCTCGATCCCTATTGTCACTCTCTATGCTTATCGCAATCACTTCAAACACCTTCTACTTGAGTCTTGACACTCACTGAGCCTGTCTGGCTCCGATTGCCTTTCTTAAATCCTGTGACATCTAACAACCGAGGCCTTTTTTTCCTCTCATCTACTACCTTCATCTCAATCATGTCAACCTCGAAGCCCACCCCCAAACTCGGGGCGGCAAGACCCCCCCACGCGTATCTCTGTTACTCCGCGTGCCGTGAGAGGGCCAGTGGGACGTCTTGCTAGCACGAAACCCTCAAGTTCAAACCCGATCAAACGTCCCCAGCCCGCTGGCCGCCCTCAACCTACCCGGCCAACAACCCACCCGAAGACCTCAGGATGTCCTAACCCTGGTTGCCCGGCACCTCAAATTGTGGATGAAGAGGGTCAGAAAGTCTGTACAGGCTGTGGTACTGTTATTAGTGAATCCAATATCGTGTCAGAGGTCACATTTGGTGAAAGTTCATCTGGTGCTGCCGTCGTTCAGGGTACTTTTGTTGGTGAAGATCAAACCCATGTGCGCAGCTTTGGCCCCGGCTTTCAGCGGGGAGGTGGCATGGAAAGCCGAGAAATGACTGAACAAAATGGCAATCGATTTATATCTCAGCTCTCGCGAGCCTTGACTATCCCCGAGAGTGCTATGAAGGCTGCTGGTCAAGTCTTCAAGCTCGCTGTCGGTTTGAACTTTATCCAAGGTCGTCGCACTAAGACAGTGGCTGCAGTCTGTCTTTATATTGCTTGTCGTCGCCAGGATGGAAACACCGTCATGCTGATTGATTTCGCCGATGTGCTGATGATTAACGTCTTCAAATTGGGTCGCACCTACAAAGCTCTTCTCGATGAGTTGCGCCTAGGTGGCAATGTTTTCATGATGAACCCTATCGACCCGGAAAGTTTGATCTATCGATTCGCGAAACAATTGGAGTTCGGATCTTTGACCATGCCCGTGGCAGGTGAGGCTGTGCGCATCGTTCAACGAATGAATCGTGACTGGATGACAACTGGTCGACGTCCTGCTGGTGTGTGCGGTGCAGCCCTGATCCTGGCCGCACGAATGAACAATTTCCGCCGCACGATTCGCGAGGTCGTTTACGTTGTAAAAGTCACAGAGGTCACCATCAGTCAGCGTCTGAATGAGTTCAGTTCGACCGAAAGTGGTGAACTCACCGTGGACCAGTTTCGATCGGTGCAACTGGAAAATGCTCACGATCCGCCTTCTTTCACACGGGCACGCCTGGGTCACAAACCGAGTATAGCTGCTGGGAAACTCCCTGAGACAGCAGCAGAAATCGAATATGATTCTGCAGCTGGAAGCGAGGCGGGATCTGTGCAGCCCCGGCGTGTCGATGCTGACGGCTTCACCATACCTAATCTCCCCATCGATCCTGCTCTCACGGAAAATCCCGTCCGACGTGACTCTATCACAAAAGCCGTGAATGAAGCCATCGCAGACGCCAAACAGGAAGGCCTTGAAGGCAAGAATAATGCGAAGCAGCCACGAAACCGCCCCTCTCTCCCTGTCCCGTCTGCCGAACAGATTGCGTCTGAGGATGCCCTGGAGGAAGAGATGCGCAATATGTTGGCTAAGGGCTCTACTATGGTCGAAAATGCTGCATTGCCTCCCCAGACTAAAGTCTCTGACAGTACGGAAATTACCGAGAATGAGTTCGAAGATGACCCCGAAGTCGCCTACTGTCTTCTCTCGCCAGCCGAGGTCGACCTGAAGGAACGCGTTTGGGTCAGTGCAAATAAAGAATATCTCCGTACCCAACAGGCAAAGGCTCTCAAGCGTGCGCTGGCCGAAGCTACCGGCGGCGCCTCTTCCTCCAAGCCCCGCAAGCGCCGTAAGGGCCGAATGGGTGATGTTGGCTACCTTGAGGATGGACAAGACGGCGAGGGCCGCAGCTCTCGTGCTTCCACTCCGGCCGAAGCGACTCGGCGTATGCTCGAGCGACGTGGATACAGCAAGAAAATCAACTATTCCCTTTTGGATACCCTATACGGCGGCGAAAATGTCCCCGAGGACCAGAAAACGAAGATGGAAAGCTTCAGCCGCAGCCAGAGCCGGAGTATGAGTCGAGATATCATGGCTCGAGATACGAGCCGCAGCCGCAGCCGAAGCCGAAGCCGCAGTGTTGTCTCCCGTCGTAGCGCCAGCATTCCTCCTGAAGCCGCCTCCTTTCGCCGAGCCGGCCAGGCCATACCAGCACCAGCGGCGAAGTCTGGTCGCTCTCAGGCTGCAGCTCCCCCTCCAACTCCCCCTCCAACAGCCCCCGAGACTGCTACCAAGGATGATACTCCAAAGCAGGATGATCGTCCAGCCGGCGCGCCGCCTGACCCTGACGATTTGGAGGACGATGACGATGACGATGAAATGGACGATCATGTTGATGATGCTTTCGCTGGCAACTACGATGATTACTACGATCAGAATAGTGACTACGACTATGATAGCGACTAAGCCTGTGAGTGGGCTTGGTTTTCATCCTTGTTCTGCCTATCACTTGATCATTATACCCTGCTTTCAATTTGACACGATTCAAAACAAAAAATCGTGTATCATTATACTAGAACTTTTCTCTGAGGCTCTTAATAGAAATCAATAGAACTCCACCATTTGTACGAGTCCTCTTGGCTTTTCGAATGCACTTAGACATCTAACCCTCGGGCACTGTACTAGTAGCGCCACCATCCCACGCCCGATCCCACGTCTCTCGCGAGTAACAAATCTGGAAGTTCGTAGCGCCGCCTTTGAACGATTCCTGTCCAGAAACACCAAGCTTCTCCGCCGATCATTAGCTTTATCTACTTCGCGGGGCTCGGTCTCCTCGCCGACAGATCGACCCCTCCCATGTCGACTTGCGGGGAACCAAGTCATCCATGACACTGAGTGGACTGCTTCCCCGGATTTTACGTCCACGCCATACCAGAAACTTGAGCAGAATCCCTAAATCCAATTTATTCTACAGCAATAGTTGGGTTTCTATCTCTCTTTTTCGTTGAAAGATAGAAAAGTTTTGCCGTCTTATTTTGCTTGGCCTACCTTTCCTTTGTTCCATATAGTTGGTCCTATTCCTAACTTCCACGCTAGAACCCCCAATAGGATTTTTCTTTACGCTTTCCCCAGTCGATCCAGCGCTATTTTATGCCGGATTCGTCGACTGGGTCGTCGTTTGCCCGTGACTTGATCAATGAATAGTCTGACCGGCCCTCGGCCGGCTAGTATGTCACATCGACACCCAGTCCCATATAAAATGGTCCATCACCCTCAGACTCGTGCGGGTCGGGTTTCCCCTGGTCCGATTCAAATCCCCATACAATACCCCCTTAACTTTCAATTTTTGACGTTCTATCTGCTTTCTTTTCAAGCAGCATAGATCGATCACCCGGCGGTTCAATATGGTAAAGTTCGATATCTATGGTCGAGGTCGCCCGCTTAGGGTGGCTATCATGTTCACATGCCAATTATCCTTTATTTTATTTGGTTTGTGGAATAAATACTATTTCCCTATTCTAGTTGAAAATTAGCTAATGGAATATAGGCTATGACCAGGGTGTTTTCTCGGGAATCGTAGGCAATGAAGACTTCCTGGAGGTGGTACAGAATCCCAGCGCGGGGATCCTGGGGATCATCGTCTCGATCTACAATTTAGGCTGCTTCACGGGTACGATTGTCGCCTTCTTGATAACGGACCGCCTCGGACCACGGAAATCATTGTGGTTTGCTATGACTTGGATTATTGTAAGACCTTGGGGAAACTCACCCCGGAGAATATCAGTCTAACTCCTTTCTCACAGGTTGGCGCAATCCTACAAACCGTCTCATTTTCAAGAGCTCAGCTACTTGTTGCACGCTTTGTGACTGGCATAGGAACCGGCATAGAAACAACTACTGTGCCGGTATACCAGTCCGAACTATGCGAGGCAAAGAAGCGAGGAAAGTATGTCTGCAGCGAACCACTTTTTGTGGGCGTGGGCATAGTAATCGCATATTGGTTTGACTATGGAATGAGTTATGTTCATGGGGCCATCAATTGGCGACTTCCTATTGCCTGCCAGATTATTTTCGCCATTATGGTAGTCTTTTTGGTGTTCGGGTGAGTGACATTTGAACTTTGCTGGGGGTTAATGGAAGATACTAGTCAGTAACCTGAATATCTATCTACTAGACTACCAGAGAGCCCCCGCTGGCTCTATCGTCATAACAGACATACAGAAGCTCTGCAAGTACTATGTGATGTGTACGACAGGGAGGCAGAGGACCCCAAGATCATGTCAGAGTCGGCGGAAATTTTGCAAGCAATCGAGCTAGAGACTCTGCAAGGCGAATACAAGTGGACACAGATTCTGAAGAGAGACGAGGTACAGACTGGAAAGAGAGTGCTACTCGCTTATGGAATGCAGTTCATGAACCAGATGGGCGGTATCAACTTAGTTGTGGTAAGTGATATCCCGGAACCGAAAGTGATGCTCCCTAAATACTAACGTTTGTCAGTACTATGTCACTTCAGGTAGGTGGAGGAAATCAAATCAATCAATAATCTACTTCCATACTGATATGTTTGAATAGTGCTGCAAGAAAACGTCGGGCTGAGCCGCAAATTGAGTCTACTCCTCGGGGGTGTGATTCAAATTATGTTTGTGATCGGTTAGCATCACCGCCCCCAAACAAAATTTAGTATGGCTCACTGATCCTCCGATATCTCAAAACAGGCTCATTCTACCCGACCTTTTTCTCTGACCGATTTGGTCGTCGAGAGCCAATGATGTGGGGTTCCTTTGGCCTCTTTATTTCGATGATGATGATTTCTATCCTTCTTTCCTTCAAAGGTAGAAAATCGGCCCTTGACATTTCTTTTTGTGACCTTTTCTGACAAAATCACCAGGAACATCTGTTGAAAAGCCCACTGCATCTGCTTCTGTGGCCTTCTTCTTTCTGTTCATGCTCATCTTTGGCGCATCCGTGAATTGTATTCCGTGGGTGTATGGTCCGGAAATTCTTCCGCTACATGTTCGCGCCAAGGGGTGAGTACTCTCTGAGGAGTCTCAAGAGACATAATTAACGACATTACAGGCAAGCAATTGGAATCTCAGCAAATTGGCTGTGGAATTTCTTCGTGGTCATGATCACCCCGACGTTGATCCAGAATCTTGCGTGGAAAGGATATTTGATTTTCATGTGCTTGAACCTGGTCTTTGTTCCAGTAAGAAAGAGCACTTCTCTTTTGATATGATTTGCTTTTAAACTAAATTTTAAAGATCGTATACTTCTTTTATCCCGAAACAGCAAATCTCACACTCGAAGAGATTGATTTCCTCTTCACCAATCGCGCAACACACCCCTCCTTGCCCTCCCATGACGTTGCGGAAGCCAAGCCGAAAGCGACGGGTATTGAAACTGTCGGTATACGCTGAATTGGAGGTTTCGATTAAATGAGAGAAGATGATTTAGAGAAGACTGACTGAAAGGCTATCGCCGAGGTGGAATGTCAAGTTGCTGATGGGATGGCCGACTCGCGCATGGTGGTCAAAACTGCATTCGTCAGGCAATAGAAAGCAGTTGAGACAATTTATGATTACACTTGCACCAGCGGGTGCAGTAGCTCACTGTTTTTCTCATCAAAGTACTAGCTGTTGAACGAAAATAAAAACAATCTTGGAACTGCCTCAATGCCCCAGTACAGCGAGTATGTTGAGAAAGATATCAAATCACAAATTCAAACAAGAAATCGTCCACCCATCACTGTTTCACTTACTACTCTCAATCATAGTCTCCACCTCCTTCTTTGGTCGAGTGTGTATGAACTCCCCATTCAAATACGGAGAGCTCTCGCCCGCACTTCCAAATTCATATTTCGCAAACCCACTACCCAAGAACCCGAATCGATTTTTGGAAAGATACTGGATATCAAAATCCTCCCATAGAGGCTCCTTGACTACCTCGAAGAAAGCCAGTCGAGAACCAGGCCACATAACGATCGGGCCATCCGGTCTACCCTGCTTAAACCAGCTGGTACAAGGATCCGCCCAGCAGGTACGAGGTAGATAGACACGGGCATGTTCCATAAAGTCCTGAATCACAGAATCCTTGGGGATGACACGTCGGATATGATGCATATACATTTTCCTGATGAGTTGCATGAAATACTTGCTCATTGCGGTTAATATGGGTAAAATAGCGCCTTGCGCTACCGGCGTGAATGGCCCTGTGAACATGAAATAATTTGGCATGTCCGGAGCGGCGATGCCAAGATAAGATTCAGGGATTTCAGCCCAACGCTCACTAAGCTTGACGCCATTTATTCCGATGACAGGGAATCGGGGACGATATGAGGTGTCGAAGCCAGTGGCACATATGATGACATCACACTCATACTCTTGTCCAGATTGGCTCCGAAACCCCTTCGGTGTGATTTCTTTGATTGTTTCGGTGAAAAGTGTAGTCTTCTCTCCTACAAGTGCTTCAAGGTAGCCATTTCCTGGAGTTGGGCGCCGGCACCCGACGTTGAAGTCTTTTGGGATAATTTTGTCCACAAGGCGAGGATCCCCGCCGAGCTTTTTATGCATGTCTGTATATGAGAACTTGGAGTAGTTAGAGATCCTGTGTGACTATGGCTTCAAGTTGGGATCAATATAATTACCTCGGCACCCTTCTGAGATTCAGCTGTATTGCGTAAAACTGCCCGGTACCGTAGGTTGATTTCATCCTCGATCATCTTCCTGTATTCACGGTACTTCTCAGGATCTTCGCGCCATTCGTATTTCTCTTCCTCGGAATCTAAATAGATAAGTGGTAGCACTTATGCACACGATTATTACTTACATTCGAAATTTGCGCCATCCTTGCCAGCATATTTCTGAGCAAATCCTGCCGTGATCCAAGTTGGGCTGCGTACCCAGGTATAAAGCTTTGATACATCTGAGTAAACAGAAGCCACTGCCTGGACACCAGAGCTACCAGATCCGATAATGGCTACTCTTTTATCTTTGAGATCATACCCCTCTTCGTAGCGAGCAGTGTGGAAAAGACGCCCCTGGAAGGAATGTAAACCAGGAATAGCTGGCCACTTCCAAGCACTTTTTCAATCAGCCATGACCCCAACCTCCAAATCAGGATTCATCAGCTTACTTCAGGAATCCTGTACCATTCAAAAGCACATCACAATGCTCTGTCCACAATGCTGAATCATCCGCCCGACATAGCGTAAGTACCCACCTCCCGATCTCGTCATCCCATCTTGCCTCAGTGATTTCGGTCTGAAGTTGGATATATCGATCCAACCCTTCATCAAGAACAATACCTTTGAGATACTGCCATATCTCCAGAGAGCTGCAATAATATTTTGACCAATCTGGATTCGGTCTCCAAGCAAATTGGTAGCTGGGAGATGGACCATCACAGGCACAGCCAGGATATCGATTTTCAAACCACGTACCGCCCACATCGGCGTTCTTTTCAAAACATTTGACCTCGATATTTAAGTCTATCAATTCAGTCGATGCGTGATGTAGAAAATCAATGCCTGCGGCACCGGCGCCCATGACGATGACTTTGAATGGGCGGTCGGTTTGCCAGGGCTCGCCGAGCAGGTTTGTTCCCGCCGTGTATCCGGTCGGAGACTGGACATGCCATTCTGGATGATCTACCGGTCTTCTAGACGATGATGGATGAGGACCTGGGCGATTGCTACCGATCTGGACAGGGATGGTGTGACTGTATTCCCCCATGGCTGAGGAAAATTTCCCGGGACAGGTTAACCAGCGATCCGAAGGTAAGATGGCAAGTTCAGGTTTGTATGTAGTACTATGCCGCCTGAGGGACAGAAATATTCCTTCTATGTATCTTGATTGAACTTATCAATGACTGGCTTCTCTGATGTATGTAAGTGCCAGTGTGCATGTGAGACTCTGACTACTTCCAATACCTCTCGGCATACTCTCCGGGCAGTGTGTATGTTTGTAGCATCACCCCGCATTGCCACGACCACCTGTGCTACATATCAGAGATTAAGCCCAATCATTTCTCTCGCACATCTAGACCGAGGTCTTATCTGCTCGTTTCGACTGGGGTCCGTAGAGAGGGGAAGCTGTCAATCACGCTCATCGTGTCTTCTTCACTTGATTTCTCTAGCTTTAAACTCAGCACCTTCATCTCGTATCTTGAGGCCCATCATCTTAATTATTTCTGAGCCGTGAATCATAGGAGACATCCTAAGACATGGCGCAAGAATACGCATACATCACCGGCGGTGCTAGCGGACTCGGCAAAGCCGTAGCCATCCAGCTAGCCTCGAAGGGTATAAAATCGTTCATCGCAGACCGTAATACAGCTGGTGCGGAAGCGACGGCTCAAGAGATTGGAGGAGACTATGCCACCGTCGACGTGACTCTTTGGGAATCCCAAGTCGCTGGATTCAAGAAGGCAGTCGAGCTTTTTGGACGGGTAGACTATGTATTCGCCATTGCGGGAGTAGGGCAAAACGATTGGATGCCGCGGACACAGGCGAATGGTGACTTTGAGAAGCCTGATCTTTCAGTCACGGAAATCAATTTTCACGGTATGCTGATGACTGTTTCGCTGGCAGTGCAGCAGTTCCGCCGACAGGTGGTGAATGCACATGGTTTCCGTGGGAAAGGTGCGTATACGTAGTCTCCAACCTTGGACTTGCCCTTCATACTACACCGCTAAAATACTATAAATTCAAAGTGATTGTCGCGGGCTCTGTCTGTGGAGTCTACCCAAGTCCAGGTCTATCAATATACGCAGCATCCAAGCACGCTGTAACCGGCTTGGTACGCTCATGGGGACTGGAACTACCAGCTGAAGAAATCACGTTGAATTGTTTGATTCCTAGCGTGATGAGAACGAACATTTCTTCGCCGGACTTTTATGACGCCTTGGAAAGTGAGGGCCTGCTTACTCCGCTTCATGGCGCTGTCGATGCTTGTGAGCAGCTCCTGGGGTCTAACCCCGTGAGCGGCGAGTGCTTTGAAATTGGGCCCGATTATGACAATGGGCAGGGAACTACACACCCCAATTTCGCGACTTTTACGGATGAGAAACATCGACTTGTATTTGATAGGTTGGCAGTGAGAGGTGCGTCGAAGTTGGGGGCTGGAAAGTCGATAGCCACGGCAGATTTCAAGTTTTGATTCGGATGTGTTTATAAACTACTAGCACCTAGAGTATTTACCTACCTAGGTACCATAAGCCCTCATTATTGAAACAAACCTGAGTCTCATACTAGTAGCGGTATGTAATAATCGAATAGTAGTAGAAAATAGCTCGAAGCCCACCGCATCAATTTCCAAGAATACCCCGCACCAGACTGGCATATGCCAACGAAAGGACAACCTGAGGATTGACCACGCCCTGGCAAGGCGCAAAATCCGAGAAACGGAGTCTAAATCACTTGGACTAAGTGCAACTGCGTAGACATGATTTGTCCAACCGATCTTGGGGCCCGGGGGGTTTGTCGAGGCAGCTTTTGTCCAAGGAACCCTTGGTCAAGTTCCTTCAGCCCAGCACTACTAAACTACCATTTCAAGATCTTATTCTAATCATCCAGGGTTTTGAACCCGTCTCCCTATGTACACCGCGGCTTAGAATATTATAGGAGTAATGAACTGCCTGCAAAGGGCAAGTGACTCCGGCGGCTCCATTCTCGCCGAGTATCCCAGCCACCCCCTAGCAACACTTTACATTCCTAATCCCCAGAAGTTTAAGAGAGGTTTTTCACTCAAGTCTTGTTCTTCATTTTCAGTCGTAATTCAAAATAGATAGAGTCCCAATCCAAAAAAAAGACATGCAGAACTAAAACTAAACCCGCATTTACGACGCCAGAACCAACCCCCGCCGGTGAAATCAGAACACCACTAACCCCCCCGTATGCCCACCCGGGGCAAAAAAAACTGGACGATGCTGCCGAACTGGTTAAGTTGGGCGCAAACGATTCGAACTAAATCCAGTGAACAATCAGATAAATAAGGCAGAAAAAAGAAGAGAAAATCGAGATTCGATCGGTCGGTTGATCGGAAATGGCGATGACGGTGAAGTGTCGGAGATCGATGGCAAATTTAATGTCGTGTTGATCAGACTTGCGACAAATGAGGCATGCGGAATTAGGAGTCGATGTCCATCCCCATTTCGACGCCTCCGTTCAGTCCCGATCCCGCGTCCATGCGAGTGGACGCTTGAGGGTGATTTGAGAGAGCTTGCTGCAGGAGAGGTACGCCAGTGTCTGCATTGGAGGTAAAAGGATTGGAAGCAGGAGGAGATGCAGATCGAGCGGCCGCGATGAGAGGAGCGGCGCCTTCGAAAAGGATGGGGGTTTGGCGTAAATTCTGCAGACAAGAGTCCCAAGACGACGCCACTAGTTGGCACTGAGTGAGGTCATCATTAAAGAGATAGAATGCCGGTGCAATGGCAGAGTTGGGCGTCGCAGTAACAAGGAAAGCGTTCAGTGCGCGGCTTTTCATAAGCATTTGAGAGTTCTGCAGATGGCTGGCGTATTGGTTATCGATATACTTCGTCCAGCCACGGATGGCAGGGGCCATATCATCATCTGAATCGATGCGCTGCCAGCTGATGCCAAGGAGGAGAGTAGCTTCGTCGATGTGAGGCTCATTGGGTGGGGTGGACCCAGACTGGAGCGAGCGGTGTTGGTCATCAAGGCTGGGGCCATTGAGGCGCTGGTTAATTGAAGAAAGCGCAATGTCGTCGAGACCTGGGGCAGATTGGTCGAGCCGCTGGGACTTGCGGCTGACGTCGGCAGCATCGGACTGAAGCGCAATCGAACGCGACGAGATAGGATCCTCGGTGGCTTGTTGTGACTCGCTCTTCTCTTCATACCATGTGCCAGTCTGGCTCTCGGCAGAAATAGCCATGCCAGTATCGGGGTTCAGCAAGACCATTCCCTCGCCATAGATGGGTTCGACCTTTGGAGCTGGAGGAGGCTTCGGTTCGGAGGGAACGTTGAGGGCGAAAGATTCCTCGAAGGCAGCTTCGTCACGCGACCTCTTTCGAGATGGTTTAGGCACGACAGGAGCAGAAGTAATATTTGAGTCTGAGGCAGGTTGTGCAAAACCATTGCTAGCGAAGACCGAGCTTGAGTTGGTAGAGAAGCCATTGAAGTTACCGGAGGGATCCAGCAAAGACTGGGATGGGAACTGAGCGAAGGCGTGTTCCTGGGAAGGAGAAAGAACCGAGGCGGGGCCCTCGGAGAGACGATTTAAGAGCATTGGAGACATAATGTGTGGCGTTGAGACGCGAAGGTGAGGGAACTGTCCTATGAGGTTAGGTGAGCGACAAACTATGAGCTATTACCACGGTATAGATCACGAGTATAGAAGGCGTGATGTAAGAGGTAGAGAAAAGTAGAAAAGAAAAGAGAGGAAAAAAAAAAAGTGACGAATGATGTAAGAGGAAGGAGGAGGAGGAAAGATTGAAGAAAGGGAGAGCAGAATCGGTCGAAATTTGTGGGAAAGTAAGATGATAAAGAGCAGAAAGAAGGAAAGAAGAGGGAGCGAGGAAAGACTGGGAGGGATCTGAGGCGATCCGGACCCATTTGCATTAATGCGGAGATGACCATACGAGACACGCTTATGCAGGCCATAGAAGGCAGTGTAGAGCCAATGTGACAGTACGCCATACGGAAACTTACACTAGGCTTGGAGCCAATCGGCGCTGGTGGTTACGCCGCGCAGTTTGGGGCGGTGGGGCGCTGTACTGCAGGCGATTGGCCAATGACGGAGGCCCCAGCCTTGGGTCCGTGACGGCGACAGCTGCCCTTGGCGTTGGCCCGGGTTCAGCTGGCACTGAGGCAGCTGATAGGTGACCCTCTAGGGACACCTAATCGCTCAGCTAACGACACCATAGATGACTTATACACCACACTAATGCTTCTTTTACACTTGGACCGGCAACCTTGAAAATTCTATTGTTTCAACACTATGGGGACACGAAAGAAAAATGAAAACACCTGAACAGGTCTAAAGCAATCCGACACCAGAGCTCGTGCAAATTTAACACCAAATCAATGTTTGCTGAAAGGGGGAAAAAAGAAAGAAAAAGAGATGAAAAGGAAAAGAAAAGAGAGGGTTAAGAGGAGGGCAAATCGCCAACAACACCGAGTTCGCCGGCGTATCATTCAACGGGAATTGGCTCACAAAAAGAACGGTCAGGAACAGCCGGGGTCCTCCGTTTTCCATCACACCGCAAGGACCCCGGAATCGAAGACCGGCCACAGGCGGGATTTCCTGCATGTCGCCGTGGCTGGCTCGGGAAGACCAGTAAGTGCATACACAGGTCAGAAAAAAAGAGAAGCGTATCGAGAGGGGGCTTTCCACCCTTCCCCGCGAACCGTGTAGTTTTCATTTTCCACTGAGAGGTTTCTACTCCACCAGTCCAATTCTTACACAAAGAAACCTCCCGGCTGTAGTATCATCCCCATGCGATCTATTCCCATAGATCACGTGCCCATCAAATCTCCCGGGAGTAGATGGCAATTTAGGCATTACCCGCGGTAGCACCGCCGAGCATACCCTTCACACGGTCAACCTGCTCGGGGGCGTAGCTGGGGGCCATGGAGCCAACAAACAGGAAGAAGCTCAGAGCAGCAGCGCCGAAGATCACAAACTTGCGCTGGGCAGGGTGGGTGTTACCGTACTCGGCCCAAGCACGGTTGGCAGAGCCAGTGTACTCGCGGATCTTGTCACCGCCAAGCTTGTAGTAAACGAGGCCGAAAAGGGCAATGGAGTAGCCGAAGAATTGGAGAGGGGTGACGGGGGTGTTCCAGATGAACATGGAAGCGGCAACCAGCAAAATATCCTTCAGAACACCGCACAGAGTCATGACCAGAGACGAAGTCTTGCCAATCAGGAAAACAACGGAGACATTGAGCAAGAAGGCAACCATGGCGTTGGCAAACAGAGTTATGAGACCAACACCGTATATGTGGTCCATGGTGACATGGGGAACCTCCAGGAAGAGGGCAACGGCACCGTTCATCACAGCACAGATGGGGGCGAAGTAGTAGAGAGAAACCATGGGGTCCATCTTGTACTCGGCGGAGCTCAGCAGGCGCTGCACCATAACCAGACGAGTGGCCTCGAAAACGATACCACCCAGCTGGAACAGGAAACCAATGAGCTGGAATTGGATCTCACCAAACGAGGCAATGACAACACCGAGAACAATGATCGAGACGTTCATGAGAACCTTGTAGTTGACAGGGGCCATGCCCATGCCCCAGGTAGCGAACAGAACAGCAACGGGGGTGGTAGCCTGATAGTAGTTAAAAAAGACATTGTTAGCACAGCTCGTCCAAAAGCAATCACAACCGGCTGGCCGTCGGGCTTGAAACGTACCTTCAGCATCTGAATGAAGGCAACGCTCAGGTACAGATAAGTCATGTTACCGCAGATCAGACTCAGACTGAACATCAGACCGATAGGGACAATAGCGCGCAGATAGACACGGCCAGTCATCTTAACGGTCTTGCGGCCGTCCAGGACGGTGGTGAAGCGGGCCAGGAGCTGGGTCATGATTGTCGCAAAGGTCAAGTGCCATGTTGTAAGGACGATAGCTATTCAAACAGTCAGGATTGGGGGTCTGCGGGGAGGGTTGCGGGGAGTGTTGCGATCTTGGACGTACGGAAACCTATGTAGCGAATCTGTTAGCAATCTGCAGGCGCGGAACGCGGGGAATTCGAGTCAAGGGTACTCACGGAAGTTGGCATAATCGAGGAGATGCTTGTTGAACAGAATGACGGTTGAACTCAGAGTAATCCAGACACTGTCGCATAGCGGTTAGGTTAGCCTGGGGAGCCTCTTTGGTGTCTCCAATGTCCAATGTCCAATGTCCACCTCACAACTCACCTGACGTAGACAGCGGGGTGGAAAGAGGCCTTGGGAGCCTCCTGCTTCTCGGCCATCGGATTGACGGTGGGGAGAGCCTGCTCGCGCGGCGAGTCGCCGGAGGTACGGACTTTTTCGCCTTCAGACATGGTGAATGTGCGAGATTGATCGGAGATGAAACGTTTAAACTCGAATGGACGGGGCCGAGAAAGGCTTCCTTGGCCAAAAGCGGAGGAAGCCACGAGGGGTGAAGGATGATGATTATTATCGGGTCAGGAACACTAATAAGTGTTAAG